GTACACATATCCTGACCAAATTGGTTACAGTAAGAAAGTTTGTCCTCACAGGGTACAGTTATAGTTGGTGCTGCAGGAGTAAACATGTTTAAATTATAGAGGTATTGAAGTAGCAAGAAAATGACCATGCAAGAAAACAATGTTTTGATTACGACATCTTGTCTGAGCCCTGTAGCAAACTCCTTTCTGCTCATTATTCTGAATTTACGTATTTTGGGAAAAAATAACGTAAATAAACTTCTCAAACATTTTTTTTTTTTTTTTGGTTTTTCATTGTTAATTTCATTCCCTTGTAAAGTCATCTTGTACACATTACCTTGACAAAATCCACAGTACAGCGGACAATTTTTCAGAGACCACTGATAGTATGGCCCACTATTTCTACATATTTCTTCCTTTTTGTATACTGCACAAGGATGGGTATCCATGCAAACTGCAAAATATAATTTATATTTAAACTTGAAACATAGTTTCCATTTTCTTTGCGCGCATAAATTATTTATCAGTTGGCCGACATTTTTTCTAATGTTGGTTTCTTTTTCCTGTTTTCCCCTTTTTAATTGTTGTGCTATACTGCAGTATCACTTTTAAATTCTTTAGTGCAGCAAAAGGTATATGAAGAGTCTTTCCAAATTAGCAAATACGCGTGATTGGCTTATTTACCTTTGGATGTTGACGATACAGATATATCAGTGGTGGATGGATTGGTCGTGGTCGATGTCTCTGTGCCAATCAGAATTCAATTAAATTTAATTTCCCATGCATTAGTGCATTGTTGTAATTTAACGTTTAGCTTTTTTATTAGCTAGTAAAGGTACGTACTTATTTTGTTTAACGAAAAACTGTGCCAGTATAAAGCTTAGTCAATTTGTCATGCTTAAAACATTCTGCAAGCATTTTTTTTCGTAGCAACGTAAACGTTAATTGTAAACCAATAATCGCACTGATATGTGTGCCCATAAACGCTGCGAAATTCAGATACAAGAACAATAATTGTTCTCCAAATCTTGATTTTTGCGAGATAGTAAGTTGCTATGTATTGTCATTCACTAATTAACAATTTACAATTGCCAATGAGTCATTGAACGAGAAGAAAAAAATTGAAGAATTTTGATGTTTACTAGGTTTAACCATTTATAACACACATTCGGGAGAATACAATTTTCACGAGCAGACAGTCTAAATACAAATTGATTAACAGTATTGCAATTTTAAAACTACATCTACATCATTTTAAAACAAATGAAATTTAATCGAAATTCATAATTTGGACAATCAGGTTAAGTTAAAAACTATCTTTTTTAAACTTATTTTTAAAGAAATTTCAATTTTGTTGTTTTTTTTTCACCCCAGAAAAATCTTAATCCACATTCTACTCTTAGAATTCATTTTACAAGATAATTATTAAGAATATTAAGCAAATTGTTGTATTTGTAATGTACTTAGCTGCTTTCTACTCAAAATATTTTTTCTGCTTTTACTTTTAAACATAACGTACCAGAAAAAGATGCTCTTTCCTCTTTTACTACTGGACCCGCATTTGCAAAATTCAAAGTTACACCTGAAAAAAATTAGAATTATCGGTATTTATTTTTATTATTATTATTATTATTATTATTATATATATTTGCGACTCATATCATGATGAATTAAACGGCTTTGTGGTAACATTTCAAATACCGTAAATCAGGGTTTTTCGCGACGATCTAATTTTCGCATTTTTTGCGATCATTTTTAATTCGCAAAAAGTAAAATACGCAGAAATTATATCGGTTATTGTGTGCCATAAAAAAGTTACCTGTTTTTAATTTGTTTTTTAAATCGCAAAAAATAACTTACGTAAGATAAAACTGTACAAATCTACCCTTCTTTCACAAAATTTGCAACACGCGAAAAAAAACCGGATACATGGTATTAGTCTCTGATGTTTCTTTAACAAAAAGTGTGTCTTTTGTAGCAAAATTATGAATTCTTGAGTCACGATTGGCCAACCATGAATGTATTCTAAACCTTTATAATTGAAAAACATTCTTAATAATTCCATAACTATCTTCCATTCTTAAGCACGTTCTAAATTCTATGTTGTCTGTAAGGAAAAGAATACACATATTAAGCTTACTTAATATCACTAGCAGCCAAAAATGAATCATAATCCCAGATATTTATACGCACTTTTGATGAAGTTTAAGATGGAATGATAATTTTAAAGTAATGACATTCGCTATCTATTCTTTTCTCGTGTGAAATTGACTTCAATCAGATAAAACTTCGCAGTAATGTTCACGTCAAGAAGTACATGTGTTATAAAGACTGATAAGATATCATGGATAGCTAAGAGACAACGAACTAAAGGTGAAAATTTCTTTATGTACACAAGAAAATGTTTTGAAAAGTCAAATTTACAATCAAAACTGGTCTTTCGTCATCTCATTTCACAGCTCACTTGCTTGAAGTAGCCACTTTCAATCCCAACAAATTGATTTTATTCCATGATTTAACTCACCTACCTAAATGGTCATCTGTCTCCTGAGGCAAGCAAGGAATCCTCTTACTGAACAAATATTTCTGTCTTCAGTGACAATTTGTATCATTTACAATTGTTTTGTGCGCACTTGCGCACATTATTTTTGTCGAATTAAAATTCTGAAAGTAAAACAAGGACATAGTAGTCCAAGCTTTGATTTAGGTAATTAAAATGAGTTTGGCGACCTCATTAGCCTGATCTCTGGAACCAAAGCAATATATGATCATCGGGACACCGCCACCGAATTTCCTTCAGGTAAAAAAAAAAGCATTTTTCACACGACATCTAGAAGCGGTGTAGTCCGGCAAGAGAAATCTTTACGTCCAAATGGCGAGAAATGTAGAGGTTCTATGATAATATAAATTCCATAATTTATTTATGCTTGTGAAATTACCAATCCTCAGAAACTCACGTAATCATCTTTGAAAATGCTCTTTAAAAATGATTTTCTAATGAATCTTCACTATATTTTTGCTTTTAATTTCGTTAAAATATGCAAGATTAGAATCACAGTGCTTTGAAATAATTATCATATATACACATATTTATTTCTTTTTCAATTGACAGCGATCTACTGCTATACAAGGGTTCACAATTATAATTTGAATACTTTCCTAATAAGAGGCCCAAGGGCAACAGCGCTCACTTGAATCACCTTGGCCTTGTTCTTCATTAGAAGATTTTTCCCCTTCTTTATTTCAATGAAAACATTTACCCCTTACTGCAGCCCCAACATAGCCCCAACGGGTAATTATTTAACTGAACTTAAGTAAGTACAACATGAGAATGCTTTAGTATAAATAAATCAGACTTGCTGTATTTTTTTACCAATACACCTGTATTATGTAAAATTATATCTTCGATTATAAAGCCCCATTTTTTGCCTAAAGTCCATAATCTGAACAGGAAGCTCATAGGCCACAGCGCTCACCTGAGGCAATATCACCCTGCTTTTCTTCATCAGCAGATTTTTTTTCTATAATATATTCCTACATGTAAAACTTTGATCACCCATTGTGGCCCCAACCTACGGTACCCCAGAGGTCACGATTTGAACAAACTTGAATCTACACTAACTGAGGATGCGTCTATATTAACTAATGACTAATCATGACTTTGATATTCTTGAGTAGAATTTTTATTTTAACTATATATTCCTATGAAAAAAAATTTGACCTCCCATTGTGGCCCCACCCTTCCTACGGCGTCATGATTTGCATAATCCTGAATCTTCACTACCTGATGATGCTTTTTATCAATATGACTGATCATGGCTTTGATGTCCTTGAAAAGAAATTTTAAAACTTTATGATCATGAACTGGACAAATTGATTGTTTACTACCTGAGGATGTTTGTATATCAATATCACTCATCATGGCTTTGCTGTTCTTGGGAAGAATATCTTCACAGATTTCTCCTCAAATATTCCTAAGTAAAACTTTTATCCCCCATTGTGGCCCCAACCTAGCCCCGGGGCTCATGATTTGAAGGAATTTGAATTTACACTTCCTGGGGATGCTTCCACATCAATATGACTAATTATAGCTTTGCTGTCCTTGAGAAGGAGATTTTTAAACTATATATTCATTTGTGAAAGTTTGATTCCAAGTGCGGCCTAACCTACCCTAGGGGCCCCTGATTTGAACAAACTTGAGTCAACATATAATGAAGATTTCGCAAAAAAGTGTCAACGTTTTTGATCAACGTTAGCCCAGTGATTCTTGAGAGGAAAATTTTTAAAAGATACCACTATTTTTTTTACTAATTCTTAAATATTTCCCTTTGAAAGAGTGCATGGCCCTTCATTTTAACAAACTTGAATCCCCTTTATCCAAGGATGATTTGTGGCAATTAAAATTGGTACAGTGATTCGGGGGGGGGGGGGGGGGGGGAGAGAGGAGTCGAAATTCTGAAAAGTTTACAGACGGATGACAGACGAAATGTGATCAGAAAAGCTCACTTCAGCTTTCAGCTCAGGGGAGCTAAGAAATGAATTCATAATAAATCAGAAAAATATTAGTCCTGCTATTGTTGAAAAGAGATTTGTTCCCAAAAACTCCTTTGTAAACTTGACCCCCTATTGTTCCCTGACCTCACCCCTGGGTGCACTGATTTAAAGAAACTTTTTACACCACTGAGGATGCTTCATATAAATATGACTTATTATGCTTTTTTATTCCCCATCAGAAGATTCTGAATTTACTCGGTGACAATGAATGCAATGAATGATTTAGCGGAAGCTGTTTTCCGCAAAAGGCTAAAAAAAAAAAATGTTATACATTTACAGTAATTTCACTGTCCTATATGCACGCTTTCAAAAGTGTATCAAAGAAATTCCGACGAGAATCGAACAGATTTTAATCAATAATACTTCGGTTTTATTGCATTTGATCGTTTTAATCTCTCGGGGGGAAAATGAACTGTCTTGGATAATACGCAACACTATATTTTAATTTATTTATCTTCATCGATTACAACTCTTTCTATAGATATCATCCAAGCAATGAAGAAGGGTCTATCACAAAATCAGTCCCTAAAATGCAAAAAAAAAAATCATTTAATTTCAAAAATAAAATTGTTTTATTGCATTAATGGAGATGTTATCTCTAAATCAAAGCTATTTATACAAATCATAGCTTAGTCTGCCATTGCTGTTTAGATGAAAAACGTAATTTAAGTATGTTTATAAATCTTCAATAAAGCTTATACATGTACAACCACGTTTATAATTTAGCACTTTTGGAATATTCATATCTGTTATTGCATACTTTTAAGATATACGAAGTAATTGTATACTACTATAAGATATACGAAGTGATTGTTTACTATAAGATATAAGAAGTGAAAAAACAATGGTGGAGCTGTGTCCAGTGATCTAGTAGATCTTTGACAACATTCTCGAAAAAAAAAATGTACCTTTAAAGGCACCAATTAATTATTTTGTAGAATGTTTGTTAGTGTGTAAATAGAGAGGATTATAAAATATTAAGATTAATCCAAATACTAACATATGATATTTACAACACTTTGTTTACAAAGAGTGTTACCTGTGCAAATACCACAAAATTTTCTGCAGTTTTCTTCCCTCCATAAACGATATAGAGGCTCGGTACATAAAGTACTCTGATATTCGTCACAGTTAGAAAGTTTGTCCTGGCACACTACTGTAATTGTCGGTGCTAAGAATGATAAAATAATGTTTTACATTCCCATCATTTCACTCAGCATATATTTAATATCAAAATATTTTTCATACTATAAAGTTTAAACAGTATCGAGATGCGAGTAACGTTTTATTTGTCACTTGAGATTTAGATATAATAAATATATTCTTATTTCATTGTATTGCCTTTTTCGTTTCTTTCCATAGTCTTTCTAATGTTATAGACCGTTCACGGTAGCTAAGTCGGTAGAGCGCTTTGAAGTGAAAGTTGCGGGTCCTTCGGATGAGACCTTAAAACCGAAGCCCCGTGTCACGGCAGGCGTTGGCACGATAAAGATCCCTCACTGCTTAATGGACCTGAGTGCCGAGTAAAGCTCTTCACCGGTATATTGTGACGTCTCTATATGAGTGAAGAATTATCGAATGGGACGTAAAGCAACATATAATAAATCAATCAATCTAATGTTATATACTTGAAAACTATAGTGAATTGATTATCTATAGAAAAGTAAAAGACATGTCGGTTAATTTATATCAAGAATGCATAAATCATGTAATAGATACTTCAAAAAATCATTCTTTCTCTAAAAATATAGGAAGCAAATTAGTTTCAATATTATAAAGAATTTATTGCAAAGTTTTGCTTGCTGTTTCTATTTAAAAACTATCCCAAAACCCCTCTTCTACTTAATTACGTACCTTGACAGAATCCACAGTACAGCGGACAATTCGTCTTTGCCCATGGAAAGTATATTCCAGTTTTGTTGCATATCTTTGCCGAATTGTATACTTTACAATTCAAAGTATCTCTACAAGCTATCATTGAAATTGGTTAAGATGGAAGCAAATTAGAAGAAATCTGCGGGGTTTTTTTCTTGTTAATTTAAACAGGCAAATGTTGTTATACGATTTAAGTAGACTGTACTGAAAGGTAAAATTGCAATAAATATACAACACAATTTACAATCATGGGTTTGCCATTTAAAAAACGAGCAACACATACAACTAATGTTTAACATTTGTTTCATTTATGTAATAATATCCCAAAATCACCTGAATATGATGTTTATGTCTCTCAACTTATTCGATACGCAAGTGTATGCTCCGAGAAGGATCAATTTTTAAACCAAGACAAGCTACTGACAAATAAGTTGATGTAAGAAGGATTTCAACCAACTATTTTAATTAAGCTTTTCGCAAATTCTACTGTTGCTAAAAAGGCTGATCCAAAAGTAATGTCACAACTGCTATAAAATCTTCAATAATGGAATTTTTTTCAACACAAATTCTTCTATCTATTTTGACCTTTGCTATAAAATCTCATTCAGATATATGCAAGACTTCATGAAGTATTAGGATAAACACAACGTTGGGTCTCGTCTATGCCGCACGGCAAGAATGTTGTAATGACGTTTCGCTTCAACACTCATTTTGAATCTGATGATACATAAGATTTACGCAGAAAGGAATGGGTTTAGGAATACCATTTGGACAAAGATCAAAAAGTATTAATAATACAATTCAAATCAAGTTGGTCTATAGCAAAATGGCACTAAAGATTAATATTTTTAAAAAAGCACGTTAGAGGTTAAAAAGATAAGCGGATGAACTGAAAATGAGTGCCGAAAAGTAACTTCATAAATTCATAACGACATCGGTAACATTCTTGCCATGTGATGATAGACAACACCTTACGTTGTGTTTATCTTCATATTTAAAAAAGTATTTTGTATAATCAAATGAAATTGTAAGGCAAAAATCAAAATAAATTGGGGTATCAGTATGTCAGATTTTGTTGATAACAATCGATTATTTAAGATTTCATAGCAGTTGTGACATTACTATCGGATCAATCCTCGTATAACGACCTTTCTTGTAAATACAATCTATCGTTGGGTCTTATTTTGACTGATATGTTCTATATCAATTGGAAAGCTATTCTTTTTCTACTAAATTTGACAAGGGAGCATTCTGTATACCCGATCAAAACATGGGGCTCACGGCGGATGTTGTCTATCGACAAGGGATGCTTACTCCTCCTGGGCACCTGATCCAACCTCTATGTTTTCAGGGGTCTGTGTTTATTGCCCTGTTCACGATTTGTTTTCTTTACTGGATTTATTAGATTGATCACTGTTCGTTATCTTCACCTTTTATTTTTCAAACATTTTTTAACTCTAAAAATGAGCAACAAATATGCAAAGTATGTTAATAAATGCGTTAAATGAATACATGTTATCCATCAAGTCAGGATATTTCTGCCTCCGTTAACTATGTGAAATTTTAAATATGTTAAAAAAATGTTTCAAACATGAAAAATATATGCTTCTATCATATAAAAAAAATATGTTTCGACATATGGAAATTTGTAAATTTATCGATCATAAATTATGCTACCATACTTATGAATATTATGATCGTATAGTTTCAGTTCTGCTGAAACGACTTTACATCAAGTGCCTGTTGCAATTGCCTATTTTATATGGTAAACGTATATAGCAATTTTACTATATTGCATAAAGAAAAGTTCAAACAAACTTTCTACACAGTGTTGGGAATATTTGGTGCAAAATTTGTTAGAATGACAAATTTAAAGCAAATTGAATGAAATATGGAGATAACAAACAGTAATCAAGCTCAAAAGTCCATTGAAACAATACAAATCGGTAGCAGAACAAACACATACCTTTTAAACATCAGAGGTGGGATCAGGTGCCATGGAGGAGTAAGCATCCCCTGTCTACCGCGGTTACACCCACCATGTGCTACTTGTCATGATAAGGCAAACGGAAAAATCCGTAGTCAATTCAGTTTGTAAATATTTGCCTGACAATAAGTATGAAAACCGTCGGTCAGCATTCGACTTAATGATAGATTATATTTGCTGACCTGGTCATTGTATCGACCACGGAACTTGCGAAATCTTGACTTCAAACGAGACTATTGATATCCTTGTTCCATCAATTTGTTTGTCAAAAGCTTGTCTCGTTTTAGAAATTGTTCGTACGTAGAGCATGCTCTTACGTATCGAATCAACAGGGAGATATAAATTCCATATGCAGGTGATAAAAGTATATAGTTACATGAATAAGGGAAGTTGACTAATGAAAAGTTAAAATCACGTTCATCATAAAGTTTTGATGGTAGGTTACCTTTAACGGTTTTTTTTAGTAAAATATCCAAAATAATGCTGTCTTTATCACAAGATGCATCAAAGTTCAAATAAATTCTCTTAGATGTACTTGATTTTAAATAGTAAGTAATTTTTTGTCCTCTAATTTCGTATCAAATGCTTAGAATTTATGCTTCTTCACTGAAAATCTTCTTAAATACACAACTTTAAAATTAACTTTATTTAATTGGTTTTGAATTTTGAAATTCATTGCATGTTTTACATTAATAAAAGGTATCTCATCTTGATTAATTTTAAAACATTACATGCTTAAATGGTATCTCATCTTTATTTATCAATTATTGATAAAAATATATCTCTAAAAGAGTACATCAAAATATGCTTCATTCTTTGCATATAATTTTTAAGGTATTATTTTTTTTATAGACAACAGGCAAAAAAGCTCTAAATTTAATTACTGAAATTCTTATGAACACTTTATGATTATATCTTGTCTTATTTATTGTTTGATTTTACATCATTCCAACGATTTGTAAGTTTTCATTTGCAATTAATTAGTTTGATGATATTCCTTCAATTATTTAACACCTAAATTTTCTAACCAACAAGTATGGAAAGCAAGATTAGAATAGAGAGAAAGTAGATCACCTTCAGGGACAACAAAACTAGAAACTTCAGTGGTGGATCTAGTGTTTCCTTGGGTTGGTGCAACTGTAAAAAGTACAGCAAATAAGAGTCCATAAAACTTTCATGAGGTACAATTTCATAAAAATGCTTGAATCTAAATACTGGAAAGACATGATGATTTTTTTATCAAATCTACAAGGCGTGAATTTGAATCATGTTCTTGATCAACGAGACAGAGGTCAGGTTCTTAGAATTGATCTGGTTATTTTTTTCACAATTTTATTTCATACCTGCTAGGAAAGAGATGTAATTACGAATTCTTGTTATAAACTGCATAATTTCATTATTTGTTGTATGCTTCAGCAAGTGATTATCTTTTTTTCATTAGTAAACATAGAAAATGCTAAAAAAAAAACAAACTTTTAATTGTTTTTTTTTTAAATTCCTAAATACTAAGATTGTTACCTTTACAATATCCACACGTCTTCGCACAATTCTCTCTGGCCCAAGCATAGTACGCACCATTCACATCACAAATCGCAGTTGAATTATAAAGAGCACAGTTAGCACTTGGGTTATCATTGCATGTAACAACTACAATTTTATTTTGTTATATAACCTTTATTAATCATTTGTTATTAATTCTATGCATAATAAATACTAACTAAATATAATAATTCAATTGAAAAAACTTATTTCAAAATCATGTAATTTTTTTTTCCATTTTTAAGGATCAGTAGATTATCCAAATGTCTGGCTCTGCAATCTGAATTAAAATTTCATTGGAGTCCAATTAAATGTATTTTATTTATGGTATTAATTAAATCTGATTGATAGTGTACGTACCGTGGCAAAATCCACAGAAAAGTGGACAATGTTTCCTTGCCCATAGGTAATATGCACCATGTAGATCACATATTACCGTGGCGTTGTAGAGAGAACAGTTGGCACTGGGGCTATCATTGCAGGCTGTTCAAAGAATGAACGATAAACTTTATAATGTAAGCCCAAAATCCATGCACAAAAACTCTTTCAATACTTTTAGAATATCTAATGAATTATTAATGAAGATATAAATGAACAGTTTATAATTTCAGCTTTTTAGATACATATCAAAATGATAAACATACATTTTGAAGGTAGTGCTCTTTTGCATATTTAAATTAATTAAATACACGGTTTACTTGAGTTAATGAAAAATACTCTTTACATTTATAGTTGCTAACAAATCATCAATATTTATTTACACTGTAAAGGTACTTTTATCGTGAATTCCAGATGTGTGAGTTTGATGACTTGGTTATTGTAAAAAAAAAAAAAAAAAAAAATGTGGAGCTCTGGTGCTGTGTTCACACTTATTATCCAAGCTAAATGGATGCTACGTAACAGTTTGCAAAGATTGTTTTTCAGTTATATTGTTGATTTTAATATAGGATTTAAATTTTAACACACGTGCATGTTTACACTTTTTTCCCTTCAATACTTAAAATAGAAACGAGGTTCCTGATAAGAAACGTTGTTTGAGTTTTTTACGTTAACAATGGGAATCAACCTATAATTTAGTTGCTATGAATTTTTCTAAACAATTGGTATTATCGTCAGATTTTTTAACTTGGAAAATTAATTATATCAAAATTTATTGCATATATCTAGGAAATAAAAAGCTTTTTTTCAATATTTTTTTCTTCTCTTAATGTTTATTAACATTGGCAACAGAGGACAATTAACAGTACATTATTGTCATTATCTGAAATTCCCTTAGGCACACTTGTTTTAAAAATTCGTCACCTGTTGTTGTTGTAGGAGCAGATGATGGTACAGTCAAGTCTGTATTGGGTTCTAAAATTGAGAATCATCAATCAATATATTTAATGGTGCTGTAATGTAGGTAAAATACATGTGGATACTTGTTTCTTTTAAAAAAAAATTTACGATATATTTTTACATTCAGCTTCAAAGTTTTAGAGGGTGAAGGGATGAATAGCCTGTTGTGAATAAAATCTTACACTTACTTTCTTGTGCTTTGAAGGTTGCCAATGATGAAGACAGACCAGTAGATGGAGTTGTATATGGAGTCGTCCCTAAATCTTGAAAAAAATATATAATATCATTGTAAGTATCTTTATTTATCATTCATGTCATACAAATTTTAGTAAATTCAACGCGTCTAAACTTATTCAGTAGATCATTTCGATATTCCCTTGATATGGTTGTCATTTTCTTTGCCAGTAAATAATTGTTCCCTTCTTCTTTTGATCTTTAGTGTGGATATTTTCATTATGAGCACAATTTACTTTCATCTGTGGAAAAGTTTTTAAGAAACTAGCTGATATGGTACTTGGAAAGTTTGGCCTTTTGAAAATCTCTCTATATCCGGTGTTTTTAAAAAGATAGAAAAACATGAAAGTTCACAGATATTCTGGTAACGAAAGATCAAATATTTATACAGCTTTCAAGTCTTCAAGTTCTTATCAACTTCTTTGTATTGCTTAAGTAGCCTAGTATAGCACAATGTGTGATCCAAAACGTAAGACTGTGGATAGTGATTAAAGTTTTATCTATGAACAATAAATGAAAATTACATGCACAAATCAATGTATTTTAGAAAGTCCATGAATACATGTATCAAAGTTTTAGGAGATAAGATGATGAAAGCTAGTGATATTTGATCAGTCTGTATACATTGCATTAATAGGCCATTTTTGGTATTTTATCAAATAGTCATAGGTTACACTTGTCTTGAACAAGTACCAAATAACAATAGATACAAATAGAACATACCGTACCCAGTACCCTTGGAATCTTAAGTGCAAAAGCTCAGATGTTTTTGAGATTTCGTATGGAAACGAAAGTGTTACGCACAGACAGACAGACGGACGGAGGGACAGAAGACTCAAATTGATATTTCCCATTTTAAGTAAAAGCGGAGGACAAAGATTAATTTTGAAATTTGAAGTAAATTCTATTGACTTATTTCATTCGCAGATATTTATAGCTAAATGTAACATACAAACTGGTGAGTGCAACATTTGACATGCTAAAGACATGCAGCTATGCAAACACTCCCTCTGGTTGTCAGTGTTGCAGTAGAACCAGTAATTCGTTGCACAATGCAGTGGATCTCTGCAATATGGAAACACTTTCACTTTAAAAATATAATAGGAAAGTCATTGAAAAATACACAAAGAAAGAAAAAAATCCTAGAAAGATCAATTATCAAATTTAGAAATATTCATAAGCTATTCCCTTATTATATATTGTCCGAGATGTTTTTATCCTTTGATCCGTTTTGATGAGGCAAGAAAAATTCTTGTATTTGTTTAAAGGTCATTCCTAGATTTATGACATAAAACAGAATGTAATATACGTAATGGATATATGCCGAATACTGTTCCATATGTAAATTAAATTATCAGACTGTTTGAGGCCCGTTAGGGCCGAAAACAGTCTAATAATTTTACATATAGAATTGTAGGAGGCATATATCTTACTTAAAACATTGCAATTTAAATGTCCAAAAGTTACCTAGAAGAGTTCGATAAGAACACAATGGGAATTCAATCATCAATAGTTTTCTACCTGAAACCATCTAATAAGTAGACAAAAGGAAAGCGAAAGTTTTTTTTATTCTTTAGGCAATAAAAACTGAATTCTTCTGTTTCATTCCATTTATTCAAAGGCAGTCGTTTAGGTTAGCAGGAAAATTATGGGCAGTGGTCAGGAATAAATCTCTTTGACTCGGAACATTTTTTTTAATAAAGTGAATCTGATTTTGATACAGACACAGTGTTGGATGATATCATCACCAAGTGAAAATGCGGGTTTTTGTCTTAAAATTTAGTTGGTTAATTTAATGAAAATTTCAGATTTTTTTTTTTAAATTCGACCAGCGGCGGAGAATACACCTAGAATTAAATGAACAAAATCGCAGATTTCTTATGGGAAATGGATTTAAATTCGCTTATTTACAGTGCTATTTGGAAAACTCTTACATGTAGCGAAAAACTCTATGGGATGTGTTACTGTTGAGGCAGATTAAAAATCGATTTTCTTCGTGGATGTCCTTCTTTGAAGCATCTTAAATTCCTAGCATTTGCTTACCCTAGAATTTTTTTTTTCATTCTGGACCTGTTAGACCTCGATTTTACTCTGCGATTTGTTTTTTAAATACTGTCTGATTTTGATATCACTGCAGTCCGATAATTTATCGGACTGGCAATTATTATTATCGGACGGCTACAGGTAAAGTTTTAGACTGCAAGAACAAAGGCATGACGTCACAGCAATGTTTTAAGAAAGACTAATTTAAAAAGGGAGAACAATCGAAGTTTTTGGCAATGAAAAATTAGACTTCAGAAGAAAACATTTTAAACATTTAATGAAAAACAACCGTGTATTTAGGAGTTACAAGTACTTAAGGTAATGTATATCAAAGAAATGTAAAACGTATTTCAGTCACTTGATATCGATTCAGGGAGAAATATGACGTTTTCTACATGTTCATAGGTACTATAAATATACTCTCTTAAATTAAGATCAAATTTGAATGATCTTATATAGATCATGATTTGGGTATAAACGTTTATATTTGTGCGATAAAATATCGTTTACCATGGATTCTGCACTTACTTTTGCAACGCCGCTGCACATTCACTTTCTCCTGAACGTTTCCCGTCTTTAATTACAGGATTGTCTGTGATGGGATACTTTACAGGAAAAATGACTTTCCCGGTCACCAGACCTTATACAACAAATATAATATAGCCACCATAACATTAACTTAATTTTGTATTTGTCAAAAGAATTCAAAAAGATTAACTAATCATTACTTACCAATCACCATCAATATCCAGAAAGCAATCATTTTTCCATGAAAATAATTCTTGCATCTAAAAGAACAATTGTTATAGGAGTGGTTTAAATATTTGGTGCACACTCGTGTAATTTATCATAAAATTACATGTACAGTAAAAAAAAAAATGCGCACATCTGGCCTTATCAATTCTGTACCTGATAGACTCAAAGATCGCTCAAACAAGGTAATTACGTTCATTTCTTGTATAAACCATATCTATATAATTAAAAGGTATTATTACTACAGATTGTTTAGGATCAGCAAACATCTTTCAAAATACTTTTTTTTTTTACAAATACATTTTACATTATATACTTTATTTTATTACAAATACAGAACCACTGGAAACTAGGTGCAACAGAGGAGTAACATCCCCGTCGACCGCGGTCACTTCAGTGGTGTGCATTTTGTCTTCATTGGGTAAATGAAGAAATCGGTAGAAATTTCAGAGAAATTAATAGCTCAACAGTTTGTATGAAACGTTCGAATTAACGACAGATTGTTTTAACACACAATGTCATTGTATCGACCATAGAATTTGCGAAATCTTCAAACAAAATTGTTGATACCCCTGCATCATCAGCCTATTTTTCAGATTTTATTTGATATGGAAAATTCCTTAAGTACTTAAGGACATACGCAATGTACCTTACCTACTGATAATTTTTCAAGATATTCTTAATTTAAGATTAAAGTGCCATCAGATGTTCATAAACAAAAAAGCAGCTTGCATTTCCAGGGGTTTTGAAAAGATATCAGCTGATGAAAATTTTTGTGAAATTCAAAGAAAAATATACAAAAATTACTGCTACATATATTCTAATTGTTTTGTTTATCCAAATTTGTTTTAAAAGAAGTGTACAACAGCATATATAGACATTAAAATGAAGCACACAGTTCCTTTAAGTATTGGAACTCTTCAACTCCAGGGAAAAAGACAATAAAGTTCAAACTATGTTGCGTATGTCCTTAAGGAATTTTAAAATTTCTTAATGAAGCCGACTGGGGTTTTATTGTTTGAAAACTACAAAGATAAACTCTTTAATTTTATACCAAATGTAACTTAAATTGACTTCAGTGTTAATGCAAAGTTTAGGGAAAATCTACTACATGTATCTAGGTATTTTAGGGACCGTCTCAAAATACTGGACCATTTACTACAGAATGATAAAGGAAAGTGCGTATTTTTCGCACTTCAAAGTAAATTCAAATATAGTACAGTAGACTATTTTTTCAAAATATAATATGTGATGAGTAATACCATATTGTACATTATATGTAATTAACACAAAATTCTACCGTCTGGTTTCTAGAGGGCGCATCTCAAAATGTCAAAATTAACAAAAGTTTACCACAACGTTGAAAAATTTTAGCGTTTTAATTTTAAATTTTACTGCAGTCAGGAGTGCAACAAACCTGCTTTATAATTACCAATGCTTTTTAGCTATCTTTACTAAAAATATAAGTTGAAAAAAAATGTTTGATACTATTTGATGTTCAAAACGCTATGTCTATCAACAAATTACAGAAATTTTACAGTCAGTTCAGGGAATAGTTTTCATCATTTCACATATTTTTTAAATACAATTTATATATATTACACTTTGCAAATAATCATGTTTTAAGGTCTTCAAAATATGAAAAACCTGCCATAAACGATGAAAAATATCAAAACGACAAATTGATTTACAAAGTAAGAATGCGTTATTGTGTGTTATAATTTTTAAACCAATGTTAAATAAAATACATATCAGATGTCAGGAGTGCAACACAATAATGTAACATAGGGTCACTCCAAAATCTAGTTGTTTTTGTAAGAGAACTCGTATATAAAAATTCTTTTTCGGCTTAGATTTAAAGAATTGACTTGAACAGACAAAAAAGTGAATTTGGGGGAATTTTATTGCTTCATATTTTTTCATATTAAAACTTTTCAAGCCAGAATTGACAAGATAATGTAAAATAACAATCAAGAAGCCAATTTTTTGTCACATATACAAGAGAAGATACTCAATCAAGTTCTAGATTTAATCATTTATACCCCTTTTACCATTTTGAAGCATAAAAAACTACAATTTCTTGTGATTATGTATTTTAGAGTCGTTTAAGGTGTGATGATATTTTCCTTTTTCAAAAGAAATTTTACTAATAAAAATTCTGAAACATTTTAATCCAATTGTCTATTCTGTTGCCACTTCAGGATTTTAAACTAGAATTCATGTGCAATATGATGATATAAGTGAAAAATATGTTATAAGTAGTTGAATTTTTCCAAAAAATTTCAGTTTGGAGGTCATTTTTTTAATTCACCTATATACGAGATCTTTATATTCCCTTGAAAAATTGTGACTTCATATTATGGTTCCACCCTATATAACTATAAGGGGTCTCTGAATCCACACACCATGGGGATGCTTTAATATCAATATGACTAATATGGCCTTAAGGTTGTGGAAAAGAAAATTCCTTTTCTGTATGCATGCATTATCTAAAATTTGATCCTGATATTTGCAAATTCTGAAACAGAGAACAATGTAGATTAATTGTTCTATTGTTTTTTTATTTTCAAAACAAACTCGTATACCGGTAGTTCCATGCAAAAATTTTATCCCCTGCTGTGGGTCTACCCTACCCCTAACAGCTATGAGTTGAACAGTTTAGAACCTAACCCTAACCTCTCGGGAAGCTTTCACATTAAGTATCATCTTTTCAGGTCCAGTCGTCCTTGGGAAGATTTTTAATGATTTTCTTATATATTTCAATGTAAAACTTTTATCCTTTATTGTGACCCTGTCTTACCCACGAGGGTTATATTTGAAAAAAAAAAATTACAATCTACGATATGTCTGGAAGCTTTCACATAAGTTTCACCTTTTCTAGTCCAGTGCTTCTTGATTGAAGACTTTTAAAGATTGCTCTTATATATTTCAATAAGGCCATTCCAAGTTTTTTCTATGTTTAGCGTCCGCGCGCGCCTTGGTTTTTGACACCCCATATCAGAAAAAAAACAAACAAAATCAGGAGTCCTGAAATCGGTTATTCTGGTCAAAATCTTTGAATTCTGTCAATTTCTGTAAATATTCGTCTACAATATGTCATATTAGGAATAGTTTAGCATTTAATACCTCGGTTTTGCTGAAGAATAGATCTTTAAACGAGGAAAATATAAATTTATCAAATCAAATCTTTTGAATGACGTCATTTTTACGACCATAAAGTCTTTGTTTTATTTTTTGGTTTGTGTGTTTTTTTGCGAATAGGTAGGTAGGTTATTGAAAGATGGGTGGACGCTAAACAGAGAAAAAACTTGGAATGGCCTAATGCATATCCTTTATTGTGACCCCATCGTACCCCTAGGGTCCCTGATTTGAACAATTTATAATCTACATGACATCTGGAAGCTTTCTCGTAAGTTACATCTTTCTTATTTCTCTTATACCAGTATATTTCAATGTAAAAACTGAGATCTGTCTCTTATTGTGGTCCCAACTTATCCTCGGGAGTCATGATTTGAACAATTTAGAATGTTTACTTCCACAGTGACATATGTTACACTTTTTCTGGCCCAGTGGTTCTTTAGAAGATAATTTTTACAGATTTGTCTTATAAATTTCAATGTAAAATTTTCATCCCTTGAATAATTTAGAATCTTCATTTTCTCAGGAAGTTTCCACATAAGTTTTACCTTTTCTGCCCCAGTGGTTCTTGAGAGGATTTTAAATGACCCCACCCTATTTTTGCCTTATCCTGATTATCTCTCCTTGGAAACGGACTTCGCCCTTCATTTGAACAATTTAGAATCCCCTTTACAAAAGAATATTTTGGTGCCAAATTTGATTAAATTCGGTCTAATGAGTCTCCAGAAGTCGAAAATGTTAAGAGTCGGATAGACAGACAGACACCAGACAACGGGGGATCAGAAAAGCTCACTTGAGCTTTAAGCTGAGGTGAGCTAAAACTGAGGTGATATCACCAATTCAAATAGGTGAGATAACCAATTCAAAACAAAAGGTGATATCATCAATTCGAAAATGTGACATCACCTATTCGAATTGGTGATATCACTTATTCAACTCAAAAAGGTGATATAACCTATTCCAATAGGTGATATCACCTATTCATTTACCTGTTCGAAAAGGTATTCATCAATTCAAAAAGGTGATATCATCAATTCGAAAAGGTGATATCATCAATTCAAATAAGTGATATCAACAATTCGAATAGGTGATATCACCTTTCCAATTTGAGTGAGTTATATCACCTTTTCAAGCAAGTGATATCATCTATTCGAAAAGGTGATATCACTTATTCAACTCAAAAAGGTGATATCACCTATTCAAATAGGTGATATCACCTATTCATTTACCCGTTCGAAAAGGTATTCATCAATTCAAAAAGGTGATATCATCAATTCGAAAAGGTGATATCATCAATTCGAATAGGTGATATCATCAATTCGAATAGGTGATATCACCTTTCCAATTTGAGGGAGTTATATCACCTTTTCAAGCAAGTGATATCATCTATTCAAAAAGGTGATATCACTAAATGGCAATAAATACCAATCCGGCGCCTCACACACTAGACATGAACAATAATCCATACTTAATGATCACATAACGGAAGTCTTGTACCTGTGCACGTAAGTTCACTCGTTCTTTGTGAGAAAAAGTTTGTCCAACCATTTCCATGGCAATGGAAACAGTTTTGAAAATCTGAAATGTAAATGCATTAGTGAAGTTTCACAAACATTTTTTATAAGTCAACCGTGAGAATATTCCTTTCATCCCATGGCAAAGGTGGTCAGTTTTAAAAATCGTTTTAAAAAAGTTCAGACAAAATAATAGGTCTAGCGATAACAATATATTTTCCTGACTTGCGTTCTGGACGACATACTTAGTAATAACAGCTTTAATCAATCGCTACTGTGACATATCTATTGTGCAATTTTAACTTCGAGCTGAGAACAAATAGGCAAAGGCAGCATTTCGTAAATTTTATGGTCATTATAATGACCTTTTTACCAAATATTATCTATCACTGGGTCGTATTTTGGCCGACTTGTTTCTTACCGGTTGTTAGGCCTTTTTTATACTCAATTTGACTATGGATTGTTCCGCTACCAGATCAATGCATAGGTTCACGGCGGTGTGACTGGTGAACAGGGCATGCTTATTCCTCTTCGGCACCTGATCCCACCTCTGGAATTTCCAAGAGTCCGTGTTTATACATGCCCTCTTCACAGAATTGTATTTTTATAGATTTTTTGAGATAGATCACTGTTCGCAATCTTCACCTTTTTTCAGTCTAATAAAAAGAAACACATGTAATGTTGTTAAACAAATATTAATTGCGTGTTCGTCTAGCGTTAATCAGAAAAAAAACGGAACCCTTTGTGACCCAAATTTTGGCATCAATCATCTCTTCTTAACCTAGTATCACTCTGATTGGATGGAGATAATATTTCAACGAGGGTCAATTTCTTATAGGTTGCACATGTAGAAAACTCACCCCTACGGCTCTTTTTCTACAAAAATTCATATTTTTCTACGTTTAGGGGGTCATTTTTCGATGACACCCCCCGGTCAATTTTCTACAGGGTCATTATTTGTCTTTACAACAGGTATTGTTCTTTGAGCAATGAGACTGGCAAAAAAAGAAATCTGTCCTTAGAGCTCCTGCTTATAGTTCCATCATGGAATTTCTATAAATATGCAAGACTATTCTGAATTGCGGGAGTTCCCTGTTGCAAAATATAAATGCAAGTCACATTTACAACATAATTTATCAATACTTGCACAAGAAATCTTATTTTCATTCAATACAAAAAACTTTTAAAAATTCATAAATAAGTTTTCATGTTATTTATTCATCAGGTTTATTTCAAAGCAAATGCCAACAATAATTAATGCTCTCGTCAATAGGCAATACATAGCCCCAGAATGAAAGTTTAACCCACTAAATGTGCAAAAACAAAAAAATTCATTTCATGAAAAGATCTTTTTCCTAGCTCCAAGGCCATTAACTGAGAACAAACAAGTCTAAATTTAGATTTAATTTTAAAGAAAAAGATTTCTAATTTACAAACAAGTTTATAAAGTTGCAAGTTCAACTACAAATATGTGATGAAAATTTTGTTTTCATATAATTTTTTTCAACTAATTTGAAATTTTGACTTATGCAGTTCTCAGTTTATGGTCTTACGGCCATAAAAAATTATTGTTAGTATAAAGAGTGAAGAAATCATTGACATTTAAACCGAATTTTAAATCCTATGTCTCTGCAAGCTAGTATTCATAAAATGAACAAGTAATTGATAGTTCAGATCTTCTTCAATAGTGCTTCATACATGTATGTACATTGTAGATCTATCTAAAATATATCATAAATCAGTAATTGTTCTTTCCAAGACTCAACTAAATGAAAATGACTTAATGGTACTTAAACTTAATGGATCTTGTGTATGAAAATTTTGAAAAAAAAAAAAAAAAAAAATTAAAATCATACTACAACTCGTATGATGACTGACACATTAAAAACATACTAAAACTAGTAACTCACTGCGTAAACATTTTAAAATAAAACACATACTTGCACTCGTATGATGGCTGAAAACGCTTAATAAATCACTTTCAAATAATGTATTTGACATGTATTGATGAATTGTAGATAACTGTAAAAGTGGTACTAAATAGCTTCCTGAAACTTTTTCATAATTTAGATTTAACAGTTACAGTGACATGTACAACTACCAGGATCTGGTTGCAGAAATCTTATTAATTTTTTTTTCAAAATTTCCTAATTTTACCTCATTTAGGTTTTATTTATGCATGTTGTAACTAAATTAGAGAAATCAATACTGGATTTAAGCACATTAATGAATTAAAGGTCATCCTAGTCAAGACCTAGCTGCATTTCAAAATCTTTGATTGATAATGTCAAAGTGTGATATCATGTAAAATGACATTAATCACAGAAATTTTTATTCTAAAATATCTTATTTAAATAAAAAATATGATTTCATAGAAAAAATAATGTCATATACATTCACAAACTTAAGGCAAAATTACACTTGAGTTGCCATGTCCACTCATGATCAACTCATTTCTCTGATTATGGCTGGTCAGTATAATGCACAAAAAGTCACATTGTGAAATCACTGAAATGTTATAAGATATTCTGGATAAGCCTGTGTATCATTGAAGATAACAAAAATGCCTGGATTGCTAGTATTATCTACAACAGAGTCATACAGAATATGGCCACCACCAGGCTTATTTGGGGGAACCTTCATCCCACCCCTACCCGGGCAATACTCTCCTGTTAATACTCGAGAACGATATACTCGTCTGTTTCCACTAATGTCAGGTGGACTATACGTGGAACTTGCTGAATAACTTGCATTAACAGCAAAGTATACACCATTTCCATATGCAGTTGCTGTAAAATATAAAATTTACATTTTAAAATCTAGTACAATTTCAATTGTAAATAACTATATATATATATATATATATATATATATATATATATATATATATATATATATATATATATATATATATATATATATATATATATATATATATATATACCATGTTCCCATGGCATTGATTTATTTTTTTTTAATTTTTAAAAAATTAGAAAAGTAACTTCCTATTTCATATATATTTAATAGATATTTAATAGATAACTAGTTCTATAATTGTAACGGGAACCATTACAGATGTTCCCCAAACGCTCCCCAACTCCCCTATTGGCCCCATTCCCTATAAGCTTCATAAAATTAGGCAGTTCTTTTAATTAATAAATCTACCGTATATTTTAAGAAGTATTTTATTGAAAAACAAGGCCGGTACAGTCCTTCGAGTTTTAAACAATCAGATTTTAGCACACGTCCATATCCATGTTTTCTAGATATTTCACATATCTTCCTCGAAAAGAGATTCACAATAAATACCTATGTGTGAAATCTCAAAGATTTTCAATGAAAACTATGAAAGATACAGCCAAATTAGTATTAGCCAATCAGAATCCAGCACACATGCATGCCTGGTCTTGCATTCAATTTGATAGTTGCATAATGTAGGAACCCATAATACCTATATATATTCAAAATTTCACTCTGTTTTGTTGAAAACTAAAAATGTTACCGCCATTTAAAGTTTAAGCCAAGCTAATTGCAGCACATGTGCAAGCACGTGTTTTCATGATATTTCATACAAATCATATCGCAGAACCTCCTAATGTGTGGCTATGTTTTAAATTTCAAAGTATATTTCATCAAAAAACAAAAAAGATATTGAGATTTTTGTTTCAGCCAATCAGAGCGTAGCACAGTGTATGCGCGTGTGTTCATGCTTATTTAACACAATCATCTAATGTACACTCTAAAATTTATTTATATTCTGAGTTTCAAAGCATTTAATCAAAAAAATAGGGAAGTTACAGCTTTTTCAATTTTATCAGTCATTTCACACATCGCATGTGCCTGCACGAGAACACTTGCAGACAAAAAAGTACCAGAAAAGAAATTTCAAAAAAATTAAGTAAAACAATATGTTCCCAAACTTTGTTTGGGGAACATAATCAATAACTGCAGATGCATATTAATTTCAGACTGTTGCTCACTAATATTGGACAGTAGATGTAAAATTTTTAGCCTGCAAAAGCAAAGGAAATACATTACAGTAATGTTTTAAATTCACTTAATAGTCTGTATATGTATAAAACAGATTGGAAAATATGTACCATTCTTTCCACAATAACTCCTGTTAAAACCATAAGTATTGATACTGGCTACTGAATCACTGGCAGTCCCATGCCATAACACTCGCTCATTATTCTTTCCTGAAGGATTTTGTTTATCCATTAGTTTCAATTTTGCATCATACTGCTGCAACAACATTCTGTTTTGTATCCTTTCCACCTGAAAAGAAGATAACAAAGCTCACCTTAACAAAGATTATTTTTAAGTAAGGCAAATTCTCACACTTAATAAACGTTTCAAAGTGTGCATCCAACAATTATGCAAGTTGGGTCTGAGGGGGATTTTTAGTTACTTGGGAATGGATTTGCTCTAAAAACTTTTTCTGTTCAATCATTCAGAAAATATAAGCAAGATTCAGCATCCAAACCAAGTCTGGTACATGTAGTATGCGTAACTAGATGCATCATCCATGTAAGTTTAGTTAGCATAGGGCTTACATTAAACTGGGAATAAACCTCTTCAAAAAAGTTTAATCTTGTCAATCATCCAAAGAATACAGATCATATCCAGAATCTTCTAATCTGGTCAATCAAAAAATGTAGATCATTCCCAGAATCTGATAATCTTGTCAATCATCCAAAAAATGTAGATCACATCAAGAATCTGAAGCAAGTCTGGTAGCTTTAATTCCTAGATTAATCTACCATGCAAGTTTGTCAAGTTAGGGTTTATATTTACTTGGGAAAGGACCTATATCTGTAAATACTTAAACTTGTTCACTGAACTGGAAAATGTAGGTCAGATCCTAAGCAACTCTAGTAGTGTGAATTCCTAGATGCATCATCCTTGAAAGTTGGGTCCAGGTAGTACTGAAAGTTAGACTGGAATGAACCTGCTCCAAAAAGCCTTATTTTTGCATAATTACATGCAAAAACAAGAAGTCTTGCTCATTAGTAATACCCCAGCTCTGATGTGAATATTACACTCTGATGTGAATATAAACAAGTTCAGTTACGGACAGACACAGGGATGAACAGGAAGTTGACATCAGATTCATCAGATTTGTACAAAATGAATCCCACCATATGGCATGCCTCCACAAAGAGTGTGCTAAAATTTCATGCATCTGCAATGAGTAGTTGCAGAGAAAACTTCGACGAAATTTTGTTACATACTGTACAAACAGATGCAGGGATAAACAGGAAGTTGACATCAGATTCAAACAAAAATAAATCCCACCATATGGCATGCCTAAACAAAGAGTGTGCTAAAGTTTCATGCAATTCTGCAATGAGTAGTTGCTAAGAAAACTGCAATGAAAATTTGTTATGCATGGTATGGACAGATGCATGGATAAACAGGAAGTTAACATCCGATTCGTACAAAATGAAATCCACCATATGGCATGCCTCAACAAAGAGTGTTAAAATTTCAAGCCTATGCGATGAGTAGATGCTAAGAAAACTGCAATGAAAAATTATTATGTATGGTACAGACAGAAGCACAGATAAACAGGAAGTTGACATTGAATTCATACAAAAATGAATCCCACCATATTCATTTGTTATAGACAGACAGACAGCTAGACACACACAGACACACAAGGGTAAAACAGTTTATGATTACTGCAGAATGAGATGAGGGTATTACATAAATTCACCCAACTTCATTGACTTAAAATGAAATATTTGAAATATATATATATATGAAATATATAAACTCAATACACCCTATGAATGGAATAGAGATCTTTTTTCCCCTTTGTTCTTGTACATGTATACATGATTGTGCGCATTCTCAAATTTGCAATTGAAAATTGAAACTTTTTTTTGCACCATATCTCTAATCATGCTCATACTAGCTTCTCGTGTTATTTAATGGTGTATACCTTTATTATAGTTAGAGCACCAGCTTGAGACTGGAAGTCCTGTACCACATCCTTGTATTCTTTACTACTTGGCTGCAGGGTTACAACTGCCACATTCTCCTTGTCTCCCATTGCAGTCCATGTGACTGGTTGCTCAAAATTAGACCCTAGAGTGAAGAAAACAAGAGATCCTCAGGCTTTATGGTCACCAGATGTTCAACCTTCATGTTCATCAAAAATGAAGTGAACAAGAAGCCCAAGGGCCTTAATGGTCACCTGAGTACAATACAACAATTTAGAGGAACCATAAACTGATAAATGAAGCTTTATTGCCCAAAAGCAAGAAAAATAGTACGATTAGCATCAACAAAATAATTGGTCTAGTATCCATCTGTCCCCCATTTATCACTATTACCATGAAGACTATTACATGTAACAAAATGTCTATTTTTTAACCCCATGTTATTACTTCTCACATTGGCCTCTCTTGGCCTTTTAAGAACATTTGAAAAGATAAGTTATTTTTGTCTCATTTTTATTCACCTATTATTTCCAAGTCTACCTGATCATTAAAACTATGAAAGTACTTTTTGTATTATACAATAAATATTCTTGCATAATACTCGTATTCTATTAACCTTTCAAATACATTGTTTACAGTGATTAATTATCAAAGGTGAATGGCAAAGGGGAATAACTTTGTTCAGCAGAATACAAGTTAATAGAGTCCTGGCCAGGACCAGAACACTTGACTAAATGGTCCAGGTGTTCAAAATTCTGGTAAAAATACCTTTGCATATTAAAACCTTTACTCTGTTTGCCTCGAATATGCCCAGAATTAAGCAAAGAAGATTTTCAAAGAAATGCATTTTCACTATATTATTAAATAAATAAAGCCCCACCCTTACACCAGAACATCTGACCCAGGGGTCATGAACTCACAATTCTGGAAGAAACACCCTTGCTCATCATAACTATACACTTGTTTCTTTGCTTTTTTTGATAGAAATTATGCATTTTCACTATATATTCAATAGAGTCCCCCCCCCCTCCTCTTCACCAGAACCCCTGACCCAGGGGCCATGAATTTCACAATTTTGGAAGAGGCATTCTTCTTTATCATAACCAAGCACTTCCTTTGTTTGAATACTACCCAGGAGCAAAGAAGAAGATTTTGAAATAATTTATGCATTTTCCCTATATAATCAATAGAGCCCTGCCCTAACACCAGAACCCTTGACCCAGGGGCCATGAAATTCACAATTTCTGAAAAAGCAGCCATGCTCATCATAACTATGTTCTTAGTTAGTTTATTTAATGCCCAGAAGCAGAGAAGAAGATTTTCAAAGAATTAATGCAATTTTACCATATAATCAATAGAGCCCCGCCCTAACACCTGAACCCCTGACTAAGGGGCCATAAAATTCACAATTTCTGAAAAGGCAGCCATGCTCATCATAACTATGTTCTTAGTTAGTTTATTTAATACCCAGGAGCAGAGAAGAAGATTTTCAAAGAATTAATGCATTTTCACTATATAGTCAATAGAGCCCCGCCCTAACACCAGAACCCCTGACCCAGGGGCCATGACATTCATAATTTTGGAAGAGGCATCCTTGCCTTTGATAACTATGTACTTAGTTAATTTATTTAATACCCAGGAGCTGAAAAGAAAATTTTCAAAGAATTGATGCATTTTCACTATATAATCAATAGAGCCCCACCCTAACACCAGAACCCCTGACCCAGGGGTAATTTTGGAAGAGGCACTCTTGCTCATCATAACTATGTACTTAGTTACTTTATTTAATACCCAGGAGCAGAGAAGAAGATTTTCAAAGAATTAATGCATTTTTTACTATATAATCAATAGAGCCCCGCCCTAACACCAAAACCCTTAACCCTGAGCCATGAAACTCACAATTTCGGAAGAGGCACTCTTGAACTTCATAACTATGTACTTAGTTAGTTTATTTAATACCCAGGAGCAGAGAAGAAGATTTTTTGAAGGAATAATTTCACTTTCACTATATGATCTATATAGCCCCAGCCTAGCAGCAGAACCCCTGACCCTGGGGCCATGAATTTCATAATTTTGGTAGAGGGCTCAATGCTTATTACAATCATGCCAACAGTTTGACTGCTTGATGTCCAGGAGTAAAGAAGAAGATTTTTAAAGATTGCATTAATTTTGGTGGTTTTAGCCCCACCCCTCGGGTCCCAGGGGGGAAGGGACCATGAAATTCACAATTTTTGTTCCTCTTCACCCATAGATGCTTTATGCCAAGTTTGGTTGAAATTGGTTAAGCAGTTTCAGAGAAGAAGCTAAAAATGTTCAAATGTTAACGCACGATGCATGCCGACAGACGAAAACGGATAGCAATTGGTCACCTGAGTGACTCAGGTGACCTAATAAATAGAATTATATATCTTAGTGAAGTCTACTTGTGTAATAATTTTTGAAATCAGGATAAATCTGTAGGAGGGAAGCACTTTGAAAGAATTTCTCAGAAAATTTCTATTTTTAGTAACCATGGCAACATCATTCATCAAAATCATATAACAGATCTTAGTATAACCCACTTGTGTACAGAGTTTTCTTAATATCAAACCAAAACTCTAGGAGGAGTAAGATTTTCAAAGAATTTCACAGAAAATTTTATTTTTAGTAATCATGGCAACACTTTTTGTTAAAATCAAAGTTTTACAGTTGTACTAAATTTTGTATCTAACTGTAGTCTACTTGTGTAAAAAATTTTATTAAAATCATTTCCAAATTTTACGAGGAGTAGCTTTTTAAATGAATTTCACAGAAATTTCTAATAATTTTTTAATAACATGGCAACACTGTTCATTACCGATATAGAAGATTATGTATCCTAGTATAGTCTACTTGTGTATCAAATTGTATTGAAATCGGACCAAAATAGTAGGACGAGTAGCATTTTGGAATATTGTTTACAGACAAACAAACTGACAGATGACTATTGCTTAATAAGCTCTTCTGGTCTCTGATGAGTACAGTTAAAAAGAATAAAACAGGCATACAGATAAACAGTGTGATACATTTTACGAAACTGATCATTCCAGTCCTTCTACGATAAATGGACCAATTCAGGGTATAAAACATGAAAAAAATAATTGTTTCAAATAGCCAAATGAACATCATAATTCTCTAAAGGACATATCAATGAACTTGAAAATATAATTGTCCACAAATCTCGTATCGTTAACTTTTTACAACAATTTTAATATACCATTGATTTAATGGTAATGTTACGGAAGTTAATGCTTGAACAAGTCTTATTATTTTTTTAATAAAGCTGAATTTGACCAATTTTTGTTTTCTGATGTTCAGTATAGAACGCTAAAGTATGATTCATGAAGTCTCGTGTCAATCCAATATTAAGTTAAAATTTCGGGAAAAATATCGTAACGGAAGTAAATCGTTATGGAAGTTAATTCCCAGCGATAAAAGATAAAATTCTCGGCAACAGTTAAAATTAAAGTGTGTTTATAGGATATTAAACAAAAGTATGAAGCATTTTGCTCCCAAAATATTAAAAATCTTTATACCTTTAATGCAAAAACTTTCCTGAATAACCGTTACGGAAGTTAAATTTTTAAGAGAAACAACTGTCTTTGTCCAATTCATTTTATTATGTCAAAAACGTAATCGTCTAAAATAGCTGACTTGCAACTAGAACCGAAGATATAAGGTTCCGTGGTCACTTTCAGGTAAGTTTCAGTTCTTTTTGAATCTGCATTCTGTGTGTGAAATTTAAAACAAAATCGTTACGGAAGTTAAATCATTTTTTAGCGACATGCTATAATTTCGCATGAAATAATATCCATGCATTTCTTTGCGAGAAGTGGTTTGATTTCTTTTTATATAGGATAAAAAACTTTTTTAAACATTCATAACAATCTATTCGGAATGCTTTTACAGCTGAAAATTTCATCTTGAAATTTGTATATAAAGGAAGCGACATAGAGATTTGCAGTGGAATATGTTTTTTAACATTACATTATGTTCATATCAAAACTGTAACTGCATATATATCGGTAAATATTTACAAAACCATGTGTGTATGTTAAGTCTTAGAGTTGAAATAGATCTTTAAATTTATAGTTTAGATATTACAACGGTAAATTTGTAAGCGACATAAAAAATTCTTAATTGGTCATGTTTTTGTAGAATGACTGATACATGTACATGTTTTAATCATCTAATACTCAGCTGAGTCTTAAAAATAAACTTACCACTAATTTTGTTCTTTCTAATGACTTTAACAATATCTGTTGGATCACTCTCAGGATATTCTTCATAAGCTGCCAAATCAACTATGTATTTAACTCCTTGTGCATCTTTGAAGGATATTTCAGATTCCTGTTTCCTGAGGGCCTTCTCTAACTGCATATTAATCTCTGGAGGGTATGGCTCTAGCTTTTGTCCAGCACTTGTAATTTCAATGAAGCACCACTCAACCATGCTTGCCATCATTTCTGCTGCCTGCTTCTCTTGTCTCACGGCATCTGCCTGGCGAAGCAATTTGTGAACTTTTTCAGAAGCTTCCATGATATCCGAAGTGAGACCTTGCAATATAATCCTTCCAACACGTTTTTCAACTGTCACATCAACATCAAATTTATCCTTTAGCTGCTGGATTTCTGATTCCTGACCAAAAAATTTTAAGAAAATACAATTTTATTTACTTTAATTTTCTTTTTTTTTTGGTGGAAACGTTTAAAAATGTTACCCATATAATCATTGGTAATTTCAGCAGCTGTTTTCAATTTTCAAGGCATTGTGTACCTTCTTAAAAGTTCATAAGTTATGACTAAGTTTGAGGTAGTGGAGAGACACTGACTAATAAAAAGCAATTTACCCAAAATATTCAATTACGGTACAGGGATTTCAGGATGTATTCTGCTGAGTATGCTGAGGAATGTGGCAGTTATTTTTACAGAACTACTCTGGAATTATCCATCAAAATAACCATATTTTTAACCACTAACCCCCTATTATCTATTTACCTTTTGATTCTTTGTTCTTTTGATAGTGTTCTTAAAAAAAATACAGAAAAGTTTAATTCTACATCATAAATTTTCAGAGAAAGAAATTTTTCATTCATTGTCTAAGAAAAGTCCCAAGATTAGTTGGTTTCCTGCCGATATTTTCAATGCCTGATATAACTCAAAAATATGTACACTAACTCATGGTTTTCTCTTTCTTATTTTGTTTCAAATAATAAAAGCACTGAATTAGAGTGCCAAAATCGAAAAGTTAAATGCAAGCTATCTCAGCAGAATACATCCTTATGATGTTTTACACTAATTGCTCATATAGTTTAGAAGCAAGCTGTCAACAAACCTGTTGAGGTGTGAATTCTTTCACTACTGACTCAGCAAAAATTCTCTTTGTAATAAAGGAGTCAACTCCTCTTTCAACCATATCTATTGCTTGATCTATTTTTTGTTGGGAATCTGCATAAATCACCAAGGTTACAGAACTCATATCTAAAGGCATTCTCTGGGTTTTGCGAGCACCTTCCCACATGTTACTTTCTTGTTTACCTGTTGGAAAAAAAAATGGAGAAAAAAGGTCCAATGACATTATTTACTTAATGGCAATACTTAGACTGCAAACATGGAAATTTTGAGGATGTGGAAACATGGGTGATATTGATCAATGACTAATGAAGCAAGAAGAGGTTTGTTATACTTTTACTGAGAAAAAAAAACTTTTCTCCAATATATGCCATACAATTTACTGCATGGAAACACTTATGCATGTGAAATATAACTGTTTTTCATTTTCTTATACCATAAGACAATCAAAATTTCAACTAGATATTTCTAAAATGAAGAATTTGTCAAACTTTCTTTTTTTTTAAAATAACCAACTTTACAGTATTCACTACAGAAATTTATATAACTTTGAATGAAAAGACATTATTTTGTTATTTTCATGGAAAAAATTAATCAAGATTTCTTTTTCTGAGATCAAATACATGTATTTTTTTGTAGTAAAGTACAGTCAAATCTCATTATCTCAAACTCAATGGGACCAAAAAAAACTTCAAGATAACCAAGGAATCAAGACATTGAGGGTAAAATACTTAAAGAATATGTATTTGGGACTTCAAAACACGTACTATGTACCACATATCCATAGTATTCAAAACATCGCGGTTGAAGATACCAAAGTTCAACTGTAATTTTGGACTAAGTATCTGAACAAGTTGTTGTGTCTCATTAAATCATTCCAAGTTTGACTTACCAAAACCAAACATCTTTGTCATTTTCTTTAAGAATCCACCTTCTTTAGGTCTGTAGTTCTCACAACAAGTTTTAAAGGACTCCAGAAATGTTCTTATAAGTTTGGACTCAAAAATCACAATATGAACTTCTTTTAAATTTGTAGCTTTTTCTTGTCCTTCTTTCAGGGCCTCAAAAAAGTATTTGGCAAGATTTTCAGCCTTAACTCCAAAAGCTATCAAAGGAGATAGATAATATATTAACAATTAATTTAATTAAATAAATTAAAACACAGATTTACTGCACAATTGATACCCAAATTACAATTTTTTATGTTATTATATAATCTTTATTGCCCAAGACATACATCTTATAGCATTGAGTTAACAAACATCAAAAGATTAAGGTTGTGTGACATGGTAATACAAATATATGTAGTATATAATGTTAAATTGTAACAGACTTTAGTATTATACAGTTTGACCATATATACATTAGACAGAAAATGATTTTGTGACACTTTCTCGTACTTCAAAAGCACATTTGAGATAAATACCTAAATTGCACAGTTCTTTAAAATTTTTTACGCTGAGCAGTTGTATTAACTTAAAAACTGAAGGTTTTTTCCAGTAATATTTCTTAATATATCAACATCTAATATCACTAAAGTAAGGGCATTTTAAAATAAAATGAAATTTATCCTCAATATCTAAATAGCACATTTCACAATATCTGTTATTTACTGGTATGTTATTGTGACGACCATATTCAATAGCTAGGTTATGGGATGACATACGTATTTTGCTTAATTGCTTCTTATATTTGATTGGAATAGCTTTTGTTAAGTAATATTGGAGAGAGAAATTATCAATGATATGCTTAAAAATTTTGCATCTTGATTAACAATTTATTTGCTCGAAACTTGTTTGAATAAAAATATCTACAATTCTCTGTTTAATAATAGGAAAATGTGTTTTTAATTGAATGCTTTCCTGACTATAGCAAAGGTCGCCTAGCCCAATTTCAAACAATTTTTCTCTTATATTTGTTACCCAGCTGTTTATATTTTTTTGTTTTTTTTTTCACATTCCTGAAGTAACATATTATAACAAGCTAAGAGAATACAATTTTCACTTTTTAACACCTTGAACCAGAATTTGATAATTCTAAGTAACCTTACTACCTTCAATGGGTATCTCCCAGTTTCATAATAAATCATTACAGAGTTTGTATTTTTTCTTACACCTAACACATATTTTAAATATTGCAAGTGCACATTTTCTACATCTTTTGCATTATGAAACCCCCAAATTTCACATCCATAATTTAAAACACTAGCAACGTAAATATCAAACAAAGACAACATTGTTTCTGTATTCAAATACATTTCACTAGTTTTAGCTTTCAGAAAGAACATAGCTTTTCTACCTTGTGTAGACAATTGCTTCTGTGTGATATTAAATTTTCCATTATAATTTAAAAGCATTCCCAAGTAGATAAATTTGTCAACAATCTCAATAGGTTCTCCATTTAAATTAAACACAAAATACTATAAGGGCTTAAACTTACAGGTTCAAGAAGATGAGATTTCATTTGTGGATATCTCACTTTGAAAAAATACAGACTATTATATATACACTGTGGTTGTAAATTTGTGGATTTATAGGTACCAATGAAATCTTCAAAACTGAGACTTTTTGAAATATATGATTTCACAGTACAAGTAACATGCACTAATGCATGTATACCCTCTTTCATCTAAACCCCCCCCCCTTTTTTTTTTGTTTTTTGTCTTTTCAAATTGTTTTTTTTTTTCAAATTTTGAATTTATTTACAATTCTAAGTGCAAGGACACAATTGATAGCGTTTGAAACTGAAGGAAAATAGATTAAAGCATTTGAACTAAACAAATTATATAAAATACAATCATTTATTTTCAAATTTCCCATATGCACTGCAAATACACAGGGGCATAATTAGTCCATTTTATTACACCTCTACTGATTTTTCCCTATATATTATTAGATCGTTAGATGCGACTAATTCCCGAGAAATCGTTATGAATAAACTAATCCCCATGCATAAGTCAAGTGAGCTAATCCCTGCTCCGAAATCTAATTCCCGGTTATCCGTAATCCTCTAGATTTTACTTTTACTTAAGGAATGTTTTTAAGTTTAGTGTGAATTATTGGTGTGTAATTCACACAGACTTGTCATGTAGGCATATTTCATGAAGCGTGCTAGTGCTTCATGAAAAATATGCCTACGTGCAAATCTGTGTGATTTACACACCAATAATTCACACTAAACTTAAAAACATTCCTTATATTTACATTTTACAAGTTTAAAAGCACCAATATAATATACTCAATATTTGAATTTCTTGCTGCACTATATCGTTACATTTTTATTACGTCCCTGTAGCCTCATTGTGACGTCACTTTAACACGAGTTTCACCGTGTATATTTCTACGCGTGAGTATACACAAAAATGACTTTCAAATCAATTTCACAGTTGGCTTAGTAGAAAAACACAGCACATGTAGAAATTTGGTATGAAACGTGAATGAACTTAACCCCGTGTGTTAGTTCAGTGAGCTAATCCCTGCTTTAAAATCATGCTCTCTGAATCCTCTAAATTTTACATTTGTATCAGTATAATAAAACAGTTAAAAGTATCATTGCGGGAGTTAGCAAGATTCCAGTTCCCTTCCACCAAGACTATTTCCCTCCACTTCGCCTTGGAAAATAGTCCTGGCCTTGGGGAACTGGAATCTTGCTAACTCCCTCAATGATATACATGTGTACTTTAAAACTGTATACTGTTACAAATGTTAATATTCAAGAAAAATGTCTTCAAGGTATAATTACCTTGTCCCAAAGTAGGAAAAGCAATGGACTTGCATCCCTGTATTTCATCTGCTGTTTCAATTGTTTTTAAAATTTTATGCTCCCATGATTCTTTGGTTCTTTCAGCATCAAGATGCAGGATAAAATTACAAGAAAGACCACTTCTGATCCCTGATGTTGTTACAGCTATTCCATTTTCCGTCAAACTTTTTTCTATAAGTTGAAATATATTTTTTGTAAAATAATTTACTCATGCATCTTAAAATTCTGGTTAAATACAGTAAAACACACTTGTAGCTAAGGAACAAACAATTTCGATTCCTTATAAATGTAATTCATTATATCCAATAGGCTAAATAAATTAACACTTTCAAACCACAAGGAATAAAAATCACTTCCCTGTAAAGTACACAAAAGGACACAAAATATATGTAAAGAGATACAAAAAAAAATTCACTTTATCAATTCACTTGAATAATATGTTTGCATGTTAAATGTGAAATGTGAAAAATTGTTTTATATTTGATGAAATCATTGCAAAAATACCTATTAAAAATCAACTGCTGCTACTTACTGTTCATAGCAATTTGTTTTTTCAGGTCATCTCCTCCAAGTTTCAAGAGAAGTTTTGACACAATGCCTGTATCAAACCAAATAAAAATTATTACTATGATGATCTTTTATTTTTTTACCTGAACAATTTATCAATATGCAGAATTTAGGTCAATTTGATCTTCATTTACTATGGCATAAAATGACAGTTTATTATGGTACTAAAATATTAAATGACTGTATTTATATCAGAAGGCAAAAACTTCAAATTACAGCTGTGCTAGCTTGCATATACTAGTATTTAGTTAAAATAACTATAAAAATTCATTTTGATCACCAGTTCAAGACCATTAATCAATGTACTGGTTGTTTGTACAAAATTGGAAATTTGGAAATAATGAATAGATCAATTTTTATTCTAAAATAGACAGTTTCTATTGATTTTTTTCTAAAATAAAACTCACCCCTTGAAAGATCAAACTCAGAGTTTGTACTATTGACAATGGCATCTACATTGGCTTTAGTGATATCTCCCTGATAAACTTTAAGTTGAAGATTTCCAATATCTAAGGCAAACTCCTCCGAGTCAGATAATTCACTTGGAGAATTGTTTCCATTTCTTCCTGTTTCAGATGATCCCCCTCCACCTAAAAATAAATCCAAAATCTTACACGCTGTTTCATATTTTTAAATTCTCTAATTTCTGATTCCAGAGAGCATATTTAGGTACACCTTTTCAAGAAGATTTTCTATTTACGTCACTCATTTTATGTTTACATGAAATTGCATTGTGATTGTCATGTAACACCTGGAATGGAAAAAGCATGGCTGGACCGGGAATCGAACCGAGAGACCCCTGTATCATTAGTCAGGTGGTCTACTAACAGAGCTCCCCAGGCCAATATCCATGCCCAAACCATTACATTCCTCATTCCTTTAAATTGTCTTTGCCCTCAAAGACAACCCAGGTTCTTATTTGTCCCTGGCAGGACTTTCACCTGCAAGTCCAGGGGTGGTCATTGAGACACCAAATTGTGTAATAGGAAAGGAGAAAACTTATGAATGGATGGGGAATTGATCACAGGACCTGTATCACTAGTCAGGATCTCCACTGACTGAGCTACCAAGGCTGATTATCCATGGCCCAAACCTTATAATTAATTTACTAGTATATGTACTTTCACAATTTAAATGACATCTGTAATACTCTCACTTGAAAAGATGCTACAACATAAATTTCTGGTTTGTTTTCATATTAAGCATGAAAAATAAATCAAGATTTGTCCCTATGAAACATAATTTAAAACCAATACATATAATTTCATATACTAGCTGCAACGCTGGATCCATACAAAACTTGGGTTTGGATTTTATTTCACTTGTAATGAGCTGGAACCAAATCTAAATGCTGTCCTTATAATAAGCTGTAATTAGACTCATCTCTATCTTCAATATGAGCTGGAATATTACATTTAAACTCATCATAAGCTGGGAAAATATCGATCATCATCATGTCCTGATTTTATTGTTAAATAAATCCTCTTTAACTACCTCCTTAAAAGATATTAGTGATTCATCTGGTTAACTGTAAACTTACATACCTTAATAATTTAAAGAACAAAATAAAATTTGTCAACAAATACTATATATATTTAAGAAATAATGTATCATTTTTAAGCATCTATTGGGATATAAATACGGGTTGGTCACGCGATCAAATTCCATAAAGCCCAAAGGGCTTTATGGCAAATTTGATCTTGTACCAACCCGTATTTATATCCCGATAGATGTTTAAAAATGATACATTATTACTTATATTTACATTTATGACTTATTCATATTTTATATTTTCCCTATTATAATCTTTTAACGCGTAAAATGTTTTATTTTTCAAACACAACGGCACGTATTTGATGCATTGATTGCGCGTCGACCCTTTATGACGTCACTGAGAAATTATGTCGAACCTTTACGACATGAGGAACCCGTGTTTATACAGATATAGATACAAGTTGCTAATAGTGTTATATAAAAGAAAACATTTGCAAATGTAATATAGTAGTATAAAACTTTGTTCAACTTTGAGGAATAAGAGAGGGGCTACTGACTGACTTTCAAATGTCACATCCATATTATTTATTAGGTATACTTTTAATTGACTCTTTATGTTTTACCAGTAAATGTGAAATATTCAAATTAATCTAAATTTATCTACCAAAAACAAACAAGAGGCCCATGGGCCACAACACTCACCTGAATTACTTTGGCCCTGCTGTTTTTCACAGATCCCCCCCTTTGTAATACTTATTGTGGTCCCAACCTACCCTCTGGGGCCATGATTTCAACAAATTAGAATCTACACTAGCCAAGGATGCTTCCACATAAGTTTCAGCTTTTCTGGCCCAGTGGTTTTTGAGAAGAAGATTTTCAAAGATTTCACCTATATATTTCAATGTACAACTTTGATTCCCTTTTGTGGCCGAACCCTACCCCTGGGGGCCATGATTTGAACAATTTAGAATCTACACTAGCCAAGGATGCTTCCACATAAGTTTCAGCTTTTCTGGCCCAGTGGTTCTTGAGAAGAAAATTTTTAAAAATTTTCCTATATGTTTCAATAAAACTTTGATTCCCTATTGTGGCCCCTCCCTAGCTACCCCCGGGGGCCATGATTTGAACAATTTAGAATCTACACTACCCCAGGATGCTTCCACATAAGTTTCAGCTTTTCTGGCCCAGTGGTTCATGAGATGAAGATTTTCAAACATTTTGCCTATATATTTCAATGTAAAACTTTGATACCCTATTGTGGCCCCACCCTGCCCTTGGGGGCTGTAATTTGAACAATTTAGAATCTACACTAGTCAAGGATGCTTCCACATAAGTTTCAGCTTTTCTGGCCCAGTGGTTCTTGAGAAGAAGATTTTCAAACATTTTGCCTATAAATTTCAATGTAAAACTTTGATACCCTATTATGGCCCCACCCTACCCTCCGGAGCCATGATTTGAACAATTTAGAATCTACACTACCCAAGGATGCTACCACTTAAGTTTCAGCTTTTCTGGCCCAGTGGTTTTTGAGAAGATTTTCCAAGATTTTATCTATATATTTCAATGTAAAACTTTGATTCCCTATTGCGGCCCTGCCTTACCCCCGGGGACCATGATTTGAACAATTTAGAATCTACACTACCTCAGGAAGCTTCCGCATAAGTTTCAGCTTTTCTGGCCCAGTGGTTCTTGGGAAGAAGATTTTTTTATGACCCCTCCCTATTTTGTCTTTTCTTGATTATCTCCCCTTGTAAGGGGGGTTGGTCCTTCGTTTTAACAATTTAAAATCCTATTCACCCAAGGATGCTCTTTGGTTAAAATTGGCTCAGTGGTTCTTGAGAAGAAGTTGAAAATGTGAAAACTTTACAGACGGACGGACGGACAGACAGACAGATGGACGACAGACAACAGGTGATCAGGAAAGTTCACTTGAGCTTTGAGCTCAGGTGAGCTAGAAATGACATTTTCTTTTATTATGTGCAAGAATTTTTATTCATGAAACTTAATATACAGCAGTGAACATGAAATTTTTTAATACATAAATCACTTATTAGTGAGAACATTTTTTTGTGTATATAATTATGTGAAACCACCTGCTCATGAAAATTTAATTCTTGCATTTGTATACATAAAGATAATATCTAACATTACAAAAATCAAATTTGTGAAAATTATGTCTCACTTATAAATACATATGAAAATCTCGTGAAAATAAGGTGTCACAAACATTTGGTGATCTAAAGTAAATACATGCACTGTCAAACCTCGTTATCTCAAATGCAAAAGGACCAAGTAAAAAACTTCGCAAGGATTCGAGATATCCAAAGTAAAATACTTAAAGGATAGGGGATTGAGACTTCCATATTACTTCGACATATCAATGTATTCAAGATATCAGTGTTCAATGTGCCGAAGTTCAACTGTATTGATTTTGTAACATTAATCAAAGCATACAAAAAATATGTGAAAAATTTTAAACAATTTATACCTTACACAATGCTGAATCTATAGCTATAGAGGCACTGATGTAATAAATGCAGAAACAGAGACAAAAGGATCTGATTTACCTAACCTTTCTGAGAAATAAATATGTAATTATTTAAGTACCTAGTATACTGAGGCTTGAAATCAAGCTTATAAATTGTAGTCTCTTGTTTATGTTCTTGCACAAATTTATTTTTTTCTATTTAAACTGTGGCCCCAATATAACTCTAAGAACCATGACTTGGATGAAGCTGAATTTCCACCACATAATGGTGTTTATATATTCATGTACTTGTACTTCAGAAGAACATCCAAATCATATATCATGTCAAAATTTTTTAAAACATCCCCCTCACATTGTGGCCCTCCCTTTCCCTTTATCCAACTCTAACCCTAATCTCATTTTATAGCTAAAGTAATACACATCAAAAATTATGACCAGGTATCATCGATTCAGAGAGAGAAATGGCTTTAACATACATGTACATATCTCTTTCAGAAATTATAGCATTACTCTTCATTCGAATAAACTTGAATCCCCTAAATCAAAGGATGCTCTGTGGTAAATCTGGTTGAAAATACAGTTGAACTTCGATATCTTGAGCACGGATATCTCAAAAACCATGGATATATCGAAGTGACTTTCAAAGTCCCAAGTGCTCATTTCTTAATTATTTTACCCTGGATATCCCAAATCCTCAGATAACTCAAGTATTTTCTTGGTGCCTTTAAGTTCAAGATAACAAGGTTTGACTGTAACTTGATGGTTCTTGAGAAGAAGTTGATCACATAATTAATAACATACGGTACATAAATCTTAAAGTTTACAGTATGCCATGCTACACAGGTGACACAATAACTGATGGCTGTAAAATTAAGAATGCAATATTGAGATGTTTATGATGAAATATAAATGAAAAATAATTGCAGTTAATTAAAAAGCAATGCATCACATCAAGCTCACAAAAGCAAAATACTTCTGAATCATAAAAATATAAGAATGCCTATTAAATATTAACAAATGAATATGCTTACAAAACAGAATGTCTTGGTGTATTTTGTATAAAAGCTCTGCAATGAAATATCACAGAAATGCCATAGAGGTTCTGGTCTAGCTAAACTATTAAGGAAAAAGCTAACATGATCTGCACCATAACAATTGATAAAGTTGATGATCAGGATTTTTTTTCTTTTTAAAATACTTTGCACACAAGTTATTTTCACCCATTATTTTTGTTTTATCTATTAACATGCAAACAATTTTCACCCAAACTGACAAGGGCAAAAGGAGCAAACATTACTAGAAATATGTCCATAGGATTGTATTAGTGTATGAAATTTGATGAGAATACCTTGAATAGTTTCTTTAAAATTGAAATCTAAAAAGTTGGATATAGTTGATAAATTCTCACCAAATTATGTACAAGTGCATAAGCTTACATAAATACATCTTAAATGGTTTCTTAAAAACTAAGCATAATGCAAATTTAAGAAAAGTGAGGTCAAGGTCACAGGAAAGTTCAAGGTCAAACATTTTTGATGCAGTTGAATAGTTCTCACAAATACGTATCAGCATATTAAGTTTGATAAAATATTTTGAATGGTTTATTTAAAACTAAGTTAAACACAAATTGATAAAAGAGAGGTCAAAGTTAAATGAAAGGTCAAGGTCAAAAATGTTGATGCAGTTGAATTACTTACATCAGTATGTATCAGCATATGAAGTTTGACACTAATTTAAGAAAAGTGAGGTCAAGGTCAAAGGAAAGGTCAAGGTCAAAAAATTTTGATGCAGTTGAATAGCTCTCATAAGTATGTATCAGCATATGAAGTTTGATAATACTATCCTGAATGGTTTCTTTAAAACTGAGCTAAACACTAATTTAAGAAAAGTGAGGACAAGGTCAAAGGAAAGGTCAAGGTCAAAAAATGTTGATGCAGTTGAATAGCTCTCATCAGTTTGTATCAGCATATGAAGTTTGATAAAAATATCTTGAATGGTTTCTTGAAATAACTGAGCTAAACACTAATATAAGAAAAGTGAGGTCAAGGTCAAAGGAAATGTCAAGGTCAAAAATGTTGATGCAGTTGCATAGCTCTCATCAATATGTATCAGCATATGAAGTTTGATTATACTGTATTGAATGGTATCTTTAAAACTGAGCTAAACGCTAATTTAGGAAAAGTGAGGTAAAGGTCAAAGGAAAGGTCAGGGTCAAAAAATGTTGATGCAGTTGAATAGCTCTCATCAATATCTATCAGCACATGAAGTTTGATGAAAATATCTTGGATAGTTTCTTTGAAACTGAGCTATGAACTGAGCTAAACGCAAAGCACGACAGAAGGACAGACAGAAGGATGGAAGGACGGAAGACAGACATGACAAACACTATATGTCCCTGCCATATTCATGGCGGGGCAAAAAAATGCATGAAAAAAAATTCCCTATATGTAGTACTTATGCATTGATGTAGTTAGGAGGAACATCACCCCATACCTTTCATCCCCCACCCCAAGTATTTGTATAAAAACATATGTAAAGTCTATATAAAGGCATGAAGTATTAAATGCATTTTGACCCATTTCTAACTGACTTATCTATAGCATTACAACCCACCAAAACAAGTGATTATACTTTTATCTTTAAATATATCCTTTGTTTTTTGTCAAAAACATTTTTGGGACTGAGAGTGCCCTGTTTTGTATTTTAAATACACTACATGCCCATGTATAAGATAAATTGCGCAGTTGACAAAGTGACAATTTATCAACATGTGTTAAACCAAATTTTCAACATATGAATTCTTGTTTTAAAAATTAAATGTTATATTTGTGTTAAAAATTAAATAAAATGTTATATGGCTACATTTATGTGACAATGAATCAATGCACTCATGGTTTCACCTCTACTGAAATTCAATTTTTCTCTAAATTGAAAGCAAATAAAAACTTATAGAAAACTACCGAATCATGAGAAAACAAACATGTGGAAATGTTTGCATGGGGTAATTTTTGTGAATTATGCAATCAGAGAAACCTTGCAAAATGTTCTGTAAATAAATCATAATAAAATATTTGATATTAAATATGATCACACTGTTTTCATCATTTTTGCAAGAAAAAATCCCTATAAACAAGGTGAGGTAAACAATCTCAAAAATATAATTGCCAAAAAAAACATATGGCACTTTATATCTTGAATGAGTAATAGAGTTTACTAATTCTTGTAGGTGCACTTCAAAGCAGCTGAATCATGATTGCAATAATTTAAATACACATTCAATAGAAAAATGGATCTGAGTTTCCACTTTGACAATTTGAACAGAGTCTCAGCATAGGATTATCACTAGGAAAATTACAGCAGCTCTGACAGACTTCGATGTCATACTCCTTCTCACGAAGTTGTTTAACACGAATAGGACTAACAGGAAACATCATGCATGACTCGTTATCGAGACAGTCTCTCAAAAATGACCTCATCTGTCGCGAATCCCAGTAACAATTTGATGGATCCTGGCCAAGAGCAAGAGCAAACATGGCTGCCACAGCAAACAGACCACAATCAGACTTGTTTTCCTGTCTCTGATAGACTGGCATTAGTACTTTTATTGTACTTTGATTGGCTGGTACTAGGGCAACAATACAACTCCTGGTGTCTGCGTTTAACTTTCTGTAGCAGCTGTCAAAGACCCTTACATGATGGTGGTCCCATCCAATATTCGACAACAGAATCCAGTGGTTGCCTTTGGTGTTGATGATCTGCAGAAATTTCCCTGACTGCCGCTTCAATCCATGCTGACCCACCACTGATGCTACACAGGTCTCTTGCAAACCTCGAATATCAGGAAATTCTTTCTTCACTATTCTCATAGCCTTGTCCATAACTCTATCTTCAAGCCAGTCATCTGATGCAATCTTAATGGTTCTGGGTGAGGATGAAGATTTGTGCAATGGCATTTTTTTTGGTACTTTTTTTGGCATGACAGGAACAGATTCTGACCTTTTAAACCGATGCTGCATTCCAGAGTAAGAATTTTGGTTGGTTGTAAAGACATCATTAGATATATCTCTTTTTTGTATTTCTCTTGGCTCCCCAGCTTTAAATTCATCCAAAATCATTTTATTTCTTTGGTATTCCATCTCCTTTGCCCTTCGTGCTTGTTGAATTGCATATGTTGACACAATAGGTTTTTGTAAAGGGTTCCATGGTTGTATGACTTTAGGTTGGACAAGACCTTGATGTGCCATTCTGGAAGGAGGTGACCATTGCTGATCCTCTGTATTTCGTTTCTTCTTATATGAGAAGATATCCTCATCTATAATTTCCTCACTGCGTGGTTCATATGAGGGATCCACTGCATAATTTTCTTCCTTATACATATCTCTTGGGTAAAATTCAGGCTGCTGTACCTTTCCAAAGTGAGATTTAATTGATGTCTCACAGGAAAATCGATCTCTTTCACTTTCTTCACCTGATTCGTTCCATTGATCCATGAAATCTGATAAAGGTAAAGACATTTGCCCAATTAGTTAGAACAGTAAACAATTTCAGAGAGCCTACCATTTTCTTCTAACTGAGCATATATCTTCAACTTTATCAGAATAAATGGACCATTAAGTTATATTACGAATTTTGTGTACTTACCACTGAATTTTGAGGGTGACTGATACTGAGAGCTGCTGCTGAACTGTCGTCCATGGCGACCACTTCCTCCACCCTGCCGCTTCTCTTCTTTCTCAAAAGCCTAGATTTAAATAGCGTAATAAAATATTACAGATCTATTTTAATTTATATCACCATCAGTTATAATTCAATGTTTAAATAAATAAATATAAGCAAAACACCTAATTTATACTGATAAAATGGCCTTTTTATAAAATATTATCATACATACAGTTGTACAAGAATTTGAATACCAGTACAGCACATAAGAAAAAAAGTACCAATTAAGCCAACAATTAATCAAACTTATCAACATAACAAGAAAACATTTAGATTTACTTAATCAGCAATAAATTTCCCTTTTCTTATTGCAGTTCTGAATTTTGTATCTGTAATGGTTATTTCTATAAGAGAATTTGAAGAACACCTTGCATGGCCAAGTTGTTTCAAAAGTGGAATCTGTACTTGAAAGATGTTCATAATTTGATAAGAATGATGAAAAGCTCTATTTCAATAAAATGTTAAAGATGTGACAGACAACGAGAAATGCAAAAATTCTTACTGTGCAGGCATAAAAATATATTCTTAAAGATATATAGATACCTTGACAGTTTCTGTATCCTTATCATATAAAACAAATCGAACATCAGAGATTGTCGTGGAGGGGTTGTTAGAACCAAAGTTATGGACAGCATCAAACATCTCCTTGGCAACTGTGTCTCTGGGGTATCCTAGGTTACCAGTTCCCATGGCAGGAAATGCCACTGATGAAAGTCTGTTGCTATCTACATGGTTCAAGCATTTCTCCAAGAATGTCCTCAAAATCTGCAGAATATATCCAGACATGATTCTTTTTACATATCCTTAATAATTTTAAAATATCACACTCATTTGAATTCAAGGTGCTTGAAAATATTTTTTTTTAAACGTATCAGCTGGCTTTTCAGCTTTAGAAATATTTGTTTTTTACAATATAACAGTATTGCATAATGTAATCTTTAAGTAAGTGTATAATATACCAACAGTGTCACCAAAATACTTTTACCATCATTATTGTGTAGGTATTTACCTTACTGCAGAATAGAACTCAGTACCTTCAATGCCTGCCCTTGTTGATCCCAGCCAGGCAATGACCCGTGACAGATGAACTGACAACTAAGGTTACCACCAGATGTCACTGCTATGTCTCCATGTTGAATGCCCCTGGGGTAATTCTGGTCACATTCCTGTTGTATACTGGATCCTGCTGCTTTTAGGAGGGAGGCAGACACAGCACCATTTCCTAACTTCAGATCCTTTGAGGTTGTGTTCACAATCACGTCCACCTAAGGTAAAAAAAGTATCACATGTATTGTAAATATCAAGACAGTTATTTTTATGTGGCCTTAGAAATTTGTGTGAAAAATATGGTAATGATGAAATGTCCGAGTAGGAAAATGTAAGATACAACACCCATTAACTTTCTTGTGCCAACGGTAATTTACAATTTATCCATACCTTCTGTTTAGCAATTTGCCCAGTGATGACACGAACGGTGATATTACCAGCTTCAACAGGGGAGGGCTTAAAAGACTTCCTCTCTGCAGAATTATTAACAATTTATCAATTAAAATACCCTTTTAACAAGTATAATTAGCAAGTATTAATATAAAAGCATTGATTTTTTTAGTCAATCTACATGTAAATCAAAAAAAAGTACCAAAAGTATACTAAAAGTATTTTATTCATCCGTATGTTAAGAGGACACAACTTTTACAGAATAAATGGAAATGGAGATTCTAGATTCTATAGATTCTAGATTCTATAAATTCCATACCTGCAGGGACAGGACCAGAAGATGTCTTCCATTTACTGCTACTCCCTGAGGATCTACTCTCAGAGGATTTAACTTTTACATCTTTCAGCTCTTTCTTCATGGCCCTTACAAATCCTTCCACAGTGCCCGCACTCACATCACACAAATATACAGCCTCTACTGGAGATCCAGAATTCCCCGAAAAGAAATCTTTCACTGCAACAACAATCACTCGAGTGGCCTCTCGCATAGGATACCCAAACACACCTGTGCACAGAGCTGGAAATGCAATGGAAGTGAACCCGTTCTCTGACGTAACCTCCAAACTTTTGAACACAGCCTCGCGTAAGTATTCTTCCTCCTGATTGGTTCCGTTCTGCCAGACAGGACCAACAGCATGGACAACTCCTTTACATTTAAGATTTCCAGCAGAGCTAAAGAAGACCTGTCCCTCCATGAGACGACCCTTCTTTCTAACATAATCATTACATTCTTCCTGGATAGACCTCCCACCTGTGAAAATAATCAATTTTAACTCTATCTTAATAGAAAAAAATTATTATCTATGTGCTATTAAATGACCTATTTATATCCAGGAACTGTTGGGAGGCATACATTTATATCATAAAGAGAGTAACTCACACTGAAAATGATAAGTAAAACATATAAAATGACACAGAGCTATTTCCACAAATTTTGAAATATTTGCTAGTACATGTACCAACAAAAGAAACTAAATGGAGTCTGTGCAACTTACCCTTTTCCACTATAATTTTGGCCACTCCTCCAATGTGCCTCATATCTTTATTGGCTGGGTTTACGATCACATCTACTTCCAGTTCCAACATATCGACCACCATGGCTGAGATTTTCTTTCCTAGTGGTGTCACACAGACGGCTAGTTCTTGTCTTGGTACACCAGTTCTTAGAACTGTGCTATCAGTGTCTTCATCAGACACACTTTCATCACTCACATCAATCACAACACCTTGGCTTTTTTCAACCGATCGAATTTTGTCTTGGCCTTGTGATGACTGCAAGTGTTTCCGGATTCCTGGCTTTTTAATGGAATGCACATGTTTTTTAACACTTTGGACAATCTGATCAACAGCATATTTAGCTTTATTTAATCCTGTTTTGGTGCCTTTAATTATGATACCAATATTACTTATTTTTACATTCCCCTTCTCCATTTGAATATCTTTATCGATTTTATCAATGTCTTGTGCACAATTCATTTGTATGTATCTCATCATACCAGAGTCTAGTTGTAATGTTTCCTCATATATAGTATTTTTCATCATAAAATCTTCAACATACTCTCGACCGACACCTTCCCACTTATCAGTGCAAAGAATAATAATTTTGTTCTGGTCTATCTGTGTTACAATTTTTATCAAACCCTCTCCTTCTTTTTCAATCTCTGTAGACCTGCTCCGCCATTCCTCTTGTGACAGCAAAGGTCTTGACTCAACTTTCACATCAACTGGGGTCTCTATCACAGATTCCTTCAGCAGATGAGCAGCCTTGACGGCCTGCTGATCTGACAATGAATAAACTGTTAAGGTTTCATCTCCATCTGATGATTCCCAAACTCCAACCAAGTCATTTTCCTTCATTTTGCTATTCACATACTTGCACACTGGTTGAGTTACCAGAAAACTTCTAAGAAATCTGGAAAATGGCTTAACCTCAGTCTTAACAACTTTATCCAAAAATTCATACATATCAACTATTGCTGGGGTAACATCACCACTAAGTCCTTCAAAGTACACACAGTTCTTTCCCATGTCATATTTCAGAGAAATGCCCTCATACTTCTTCTGAAGGTTCTGCTCAAACTTGCAAAACTGCAGAATCAGCACTTGAAATCTTTTTATCTTTTTCTCCTCCTGAACTTGCTGTTTTTTCCTATCCAACTCTTGTTCTACCTTCTGGATGATATCACTGACTTGTTTGGACACCTCTTGTGATGCCTGTATGTGACCTGTCACATAAATTTCATGATTGCTTTTTTCCAGAACAACAGCAACAGCATCAGGATTACTGATTGTCAAGGATTTCAACTCATTGAGCACAAGAGGGAACGCTTCCTGTAAAGTGGAATGTTTGGTCACGAGCAGAAGACCCAGAAATTTGTTCAGATTTTCCTTCACTTTAGCCTCCCAGGTTTTGGCTAGTTTCTTGCAGTCTTTGGTTTCGGCAGTCAAGGTACACTCTACAGTCAGAGAAACAGATTTAGACTTTTTTGGCCAAACTGGCTTTCCATACACAGCCTCCAACTGTTTTTCTATAGCCTGTTGATTTGAAGGAGATTTGATAAGAAACTGAAGCTTCTTGGTATCCAGGTCTGTAAGTTCCAAAGGTCTAGGAGGCTGGAATGGCCCCTCCTCATCACTTTCTACTTGTCCAAGGCATTCATAGTAAATTTTAACATCAAGATCCTGACCATCAACTTTGTGTTGTCTTGAACATACCACATCCACAGCTTTACATAGAAAAGAAAACAGAATTTATAACAAACAGTTGAATTCCTATATATAAAGGAAAACATTAACCTTTTAACTCTAGATCTGTGTATCAAAAACATTATTTGGTACTTTCATTCTCTTTTTAAAATTTTTTTTATGTCTGAATAAAGCTGTATGTGAGGTAAAACCTGCTTTTCCAAGAAAGTCTTTAACTTGTATAACAATTGAAAAAAAAAAGTTCAGCCATGGATTATTTAGTATTTTTCTAACTAATAAATAATAGATTTTTACATTCTTTTTATGTTAATGGGAAATATTTTCATTAACATTTTTTCCATTTTGTTTATCTTTGAAGTAACAATTTCTCAAGCCCTCATCTTTCTTGGAAAGAAAATGTGATAATTGAAGGGAAATAAAGAGTGTACAAACCCTCTGGCTCCTCAAAGTAGACCAGACAAAATCCATCTAATAGTTTGACATCCAAAACTCCTGTCACCCCACTCCTTCTTTCATTATCAAAGTAAAACTCTAGGGTGTCTCGAGATGTCTTCTCTGAGATGTTCCGAACAATGACACAGTTTGTGATGGGAACTCGAGATACCTCCAGGTATGACTTGTCTAAACTCCTCTTTTTACAAGCCAGCTGTAATTTCTCAAAATCTATGACACACAAAGAAAAAAAAGAAACTCGGTAGAAAACTGTTGACCTACATTTACCACAATGACCACAAGAACACATATATATTATATACTCCTTTTCAGTTTGTATAAATTGCAATCAATCAAATATCCATTTCAATCTCATGATTTATTTTATCCCCCCCCCCCAAAAAAAACATACGTAATCAAAGTTTACAAAGCTCACCTCGACGAGTGTTATCTATAAGCAAGGCAAATTTCACATCATATTTTTTTCTAGTTAGGGAACATCCCAAGATCAATATCCTTGCAAGTTTGGTTTAAGTAGGACTTGTAGTTACCTGAAAATAGACCTGCACAAAAAACTTTTAACCTGTTTAGTAATCAAGAAAATTTTGGTCAGTTCCAACATCCAAAGCAAGTCTGGAAGTTTTCATCCTTAGATGCACCATCTATGCAAGTTTTATCATAACAGGCCATAATATTATATAGCAACACCCAAAAAATTACCCTGGTCACTCATCTGGATACTATAGGTCAGATTCAGAATCCAAAGCGAGTCTGGTAGTGTCCATTCCTAGATACATCATCCATGCTAAATTGGTTAAAATATGGCTAAAATTCACTCATGTCGAAAATCTAGGTCAGATCCAGCATCCGAAGCAGGTTGGTTAGTGTCCATCCCTAGATGCAACATCCATGAAAGTTTGGTCAAGGTAGGGCTTATAGTTACTTGAGAATGGGACTGCTCCAAAATCTAAACCTGGTCTCACATGTGAAAAATCTAGCTCAGATCCAGCATCCGGAGCAAATGTGGTAGTGTCCATCCCTAAATGCATCATCCATGAAAGTTTGGTCAAGGTAGGGTTTATAGTTACTTGGGAATGGACCTGCTCCAAAAACTTTAACCTGGTCACCCATCTGGAAAATTTAGGTCAGATCCAGCATCCGAAGCAAGTGTGGTAGTTTCCATCCCTAGATGCATCATTCATGCAAGTTTGGTCAAGGTAGTGTTAATAGTTACTTGGGAATGGACCTGCTCCAAAAATTTTAACCTGGTCACTCATCTGGAAAATCTAGGTCAGATCCAGCACCCGAAGCAAATGTGGTAGTGTCCATCCCTAGATGCATCATCCATGCAAGTCTGGTCCAGTTACGTCTTATAGTTACTTGGGAATGGACCTGCTCCAAAAACTTTAACCTGGTCACTCATCTGGAAAATCTAGGTCAGATCCAGCATCCGAAGCAAGTGTGGTAGTGTCCATCCCTAGATGCATCATCCAGGCAAGTTTGGTCCAGGTGGGGCTAATAATTACCTGGGAATGGGACTGCTCCTTAAACCTTAACCGGGACACCGACGCTAATGCCGACACCGACGCCAGGGGTAAAGCATAAGCTCATCTTGACTTCGTCGAGGTGAGCTAAAAACATTGATCTAAAACATAATTTGCTGCTGTGGACAAATAAATGGGTAAAATAAAATGAATTATTGTTGAAGAAAAAAATTTAAAAGATTAATATGATTCTGACCTAAATCTTCTTCAAACGTGACCAAGGCTGCTCCTTCTATCTCCCCATACTCGATACTTGTGGGTGTTATACTGGTCTTTGCCTCTAGAAAGTTTTCCAGTCCATCCTTGGTTGTTTTTTCACTGATGTTTTTAATGAAGACTTTGTTTGGGTACATTGGTACTGGCTTTGGAGGAGGGGGTGGAACATATCGGCAAACCTGAATTGCTGTTCCATCAATTTTATGTCTCTTCCGCAATACATTCTCAATAACTGAAATATCAAAGATTATACAGTTTTGGAAAAAAAAATGAATGAAAAAAAAAACAGCGGTGGTAATTGTAATAAACTGTAATAATATTTTGACCTCAATCTCAAATTAAAGTAAACAAAAATCTCATTAAAGAATATACATGTATATATTTAAATTTGAAATAAAGACCTTATTAGATTAATATTTTCAGACCTTTTAATTTTACGAAGCAATCTCAAACTGACATTTAAGAAATTTAATTATCAAAAATGCTCACCACTTTCATCCTCAAACACTATATAAAACACCCCCTCCTTTTCTTCCATGTTTTTTATATCTCCTCCACCAGAACGACGGGTGTTCTCAAAGTACATTTCCACTGTGTCCGTGGTTGTTCTCTCTGACACTCCTCGAACTTCTAGAACATTCTCAGATTCCACGATTTGTTCCTCAACAGGACTGTCAACTTCTAAATTTGGTCGAAATTCTTCTACTCCAATTTGAACTCCAGAAAACAATATTGGCATCTTGCCCAACACCCTCTTTACAGCTTCAATTGGAAGGACAAAAACTTTATGTTGAGACTAAGATATTGTTTATAGATTTTTCTCATTTATAACAAATTATTTGTGCAGTAAAATTAATTATAAAGGCAAAATGATTCAATGATACATCAAAAATTTTAGTTGCTTTTTATGTTCAATCTGTATAGATATAAACCTACATGTAATCAAACTAGAAAACTGACCAGTCAGCAAGGGCCCCGCCGAGGGGTAGAAATATAAGGGTACAGCTTACAGATTGAGAATTTTAATTGATTACAAAAACTAAAAAATATACAAAGAAGAATATCCAATAACAACTGTATTTATAAAATTTCATGATAATTCATAAATATCCAACAACCTGTAAACTGTAAAGAGTATCCCTGTATTTACATAAGGCAGTAAAAAACATCATATCTATAATAACTCAATTAAATGTATATTTAAACAAGAATAAAGCATGTGTTTTATAAAATGCCAGCCTTCAGTGAATGCAAATATCACCCAGGCTTGACCTTAACTTCAAAACAAACATCAGTTGCAGACAAAGGTTAATTTATCTTAAAGTGACAAATAAAGATAAGCCTGGAAAATGTTCTGCCCCAGACAAGATAATTAATCCCAGGGGATTAATTGTACTGCTCTCACATTCTTTTCTTCCAAGTTTACAATAAGAACTTTTTCAGTTTACTATAGGACTACCTGTTAAAATTTATAGTATTCTTGAATTCACATACGGTAGCAAAAAAAAAAAATGAATAAATAAATAAATAAAATAAATAAAAACAAAAAAAAATAAAAATAAAAAATAAACCATATCTTTATGTATATCTTGTTTTTAGAATTTAAAAAAAATCATAACTCATTGTGTATTTTACCAAAATAAAGTATGAACATTATTTAAATCCACATTTCAGAGAATGTAAATCATTCATAATTGACCTTAACTTCAAAACAAACTTCATTTGCAGACAGAGATGTTAATTAATCTCAATTTGACAGAAACAGATAATGCTTTGGATTTTTTTCAAGAGGAAAGTTAATTAATTCCATGGGACTAGTTGCAGCTTTCACAGTTTACAATAGCAACATTCTCAGCAGTTATCTCTCTTTGCCCTGGCATTCATTCTAATGTAAAGTAAAGGAATCTACCCCACCACTCCAGCTCCAAAGTGGATGACATAGAGAACCAAACTTAGCATCAAAATATGTCTTACTGCCTCTTCAACCTACATACCAAATTTGAACTTAATTGGTCAACTACAAAAAAAGTTATTGGAAAAAAACAGAAAATTTGTGGACGGAAGAATGACAGACGGACAGACAGACAGACGGACAGACAGGCAGAGTGATTACTATAGGGCACCCACAAATCCTTGCGGGGCGCTAATTAATCATAATTTTATTGTACTTCCATACATATATATATAAGAACTTAACATCATTGAGATAGTGACTATCTGCAAGCAAATGAAAGGGGCATAAGGGTCAATGAGACTTGAAGAGGACTGTAACTGGAGAAGAATTTTTTTTGTAATTTGAAAAGTTTTATCTTGGGTTTAAGAAGACTTCTTGTATTATTTTTTTTTTCAAAATAAAAAAGGGTGAACGAAAATTTGTTTGAACTTTACATTTGAGTGAAAATTGAATTTTATTGAGTTAATGACTACTGGTAATTTTGAGATATGGGCAGAATAATAAACCTGAATATAATCACCCTTTACAAAAATTTCCACAGAGATAAAAAAAATCTGTTCTGGCCTTGACCACTATCTCAGTTTATACTTACACACTGCACACCATTACTCATTACCAGTACTCTAGAATGGGTGAGTCAAACTACATGTATTTTACAAAAACTATGCTTAAACCTTGACCTTTGACCCAGATATTTGGCTCAAGGTCACTACACATCCTTTATTCTAGGGTACTCTTTTGATAGACTATGAGTCAGACCCGACCAAAGGAAGAGAAAATATACTCCAGACATGTAATATCTTATGGACAGACTGAAGGGCAGACAGACATCTGATCACCATAGAGTGCCTGCTGAGTGAGGCTCTAATCAAATTTAGCAATAAAATCTTTAAAATATTTACCTGCAGATTCTTCAAAAGTAATAACAGCTGACTGGGTATCTGGGTCATACTCAATGTCAGTTATTGAACCACCACCACTTTTCCTGCGATTCTCAAAGAAAAACAGCAAAGAATCCTCTGATGTACCAGGTGGAATACTTGTAACTTTAATCATAGCTACCTCTGAAAAAAGCACAAGATTACCAATCTAAAACAAATCTTAGCCTCATACATGTTTATTTATGTCCCTGTTACAGGAAATGAGAAAATGTAACAAGGAAACCAGGATTTGATAAACATGTAGATCCCTGGAACTCTAGAAGGTGATCTATCATCTTAGCTTTCTGTCCATCAAAAAAAATATCCAGGATATATACAAAATTTCGGCTGACCTGCTTTTCCCCGCTTTTATATTTGGAACCTTGTTGCTTTTCCGCGACTACTTTATACTGCTTTTCAAGATTGGTTTTTAATATATGTTATGTGTTATCTTTTTTTGATACTTCCTTTCCTCTATTTTGAAACTTTCATGCTTAGCAGTTAACATCAAATGGTTGCTGATATTTACCTTCATTTCCCCAAAGCGTTCTACTAGGTAGTGAGTACTTATTCATATGGTGATAAAAATTGAACGAATCTCGCATTTTGTACTGGTCGGTGATAGGCTTAAGATGTTTTAAACAATATGGAAATTGAATCAGGGAGAACAAATGTATTATCTACAATGGATTTACATACAGTATAGTAAATGTTTTAGGGAATGGGGATGTGTCATACCGATGCAGCGTTGATAAAATTTGCAAAGTCACGATTACAACCTGCCCATGGTAAGCAGCGGGCAACAGGTTTTACTTGGCTAACGGAAGAGGTACAAAAAAAGTCGCAGAAAAGCTAAATATTGTAATCGCGGAAAAGCAGTAAAACTTGTCGCTGAAAAGCAGGAATTTTTTCTTGGAAAATCTGTGTGGATTTGCAGAAAAGTGGAACTGCCAAAATTTCCTTAATAGTAAACAACTCTGTGACATGGCCAAATGCACTCAAGAAAAGGCCCTGGGCCACAAAGTTATAGTCTGTTCTTAGTACATGTATATGGTCTTGGGCTTAGGAATTTAGTCCTGGCCCCTTGAACTAAGAAAGGTGCTCCACCCACAGCACTTGTAATCAGGATAATTTGTTCTTTAATGTGGCAGATTTTGAGTTAGTCTGAATGAAATTTAAACTATTACCAGAATAAAAAAATGAAAATTTATTTTTTCTTTAGTAGTCTTATTTGTATTAATGGCTTCTAATTTTATATGTTTTGAACCTAATTATGCCATTTGTTTTCGATTCCCTTTTGAAAGAGCAACATACTCTCTAACAATCATATCACAAAAAAAGGACCTGTAAGCAACTAAAGGTAAAGATGCAGTGTATCATATTTAATATGCATTATATTTAATGATTTTTAAAACTTTTTCTTTGTCACCTTTTGAAAAAAATGGTATTTCTTGTTCCAGAAGTTAAAACATAACTTACCTGTATTGATATCTTCCTTTTCTGGGTTTCCATCATCCTCTTGGTCCGGATCATACTCAGTAGATGCTTCTCTCTCTCTGTATTGTTGTTCTGTAGAATGTGGTGTTACTTGAGTTTCTGATTTAAAGAAAAATCTAATCTTTTATTTACTCCAATATGTTTGTAAATTTACGAGGTAAAAGATGCAAACCTGGAAGCATTCTAACAAATATCGGTAACCAAGTTATCAGATTCTGTCAATTGCTAAAGACCACTGTGTTATATATGTGAATATAGCCCCATCATACACAATATACATCATACACGATCATACACAATATTCTTCCATTACACTTTTTTCTCCACAAATAATGTTAAGTTGTACTCAAATATGAACAAAATAAATTTTCCATGAAGCTTTCATAGTGGATCTGAAATAAAAAGAGACCCTCCTGCATGATTAGTTTGCAGTAAAATAACTACCGAACATGTCAAATGTACCAACAAATGCTTCCAACGGGTCAATATTTTGTAGTTTATATATGTGTATCTATAAAAAAGCATCAAAGGACCACACACAGCAAACTGCAATTTTGTTATATATTGACTGCACTTTAAAGCTTATATTAATTAAATTCTCATGGAAATAAATTACCTGAAACACTTCCCTGTGACCTGTTGATAGGTAAACTTCCTCCTCCTGATTCAGTTTCCTCCTCTGTGACGGAATAGGGAGGAGGGGCACCTGCACCCCCTGCTTTCATGTTCTCATACATCTGAAGCATCTGCATTTGTTGCAACCACATTTGTGGAGTAAAATGAAAATTCCCACCCTCCACTGGTTTTTCTTGTGCTGTCGCTCCTTCCTGAGGAAACACAAATCCAGGATATGGATATGGATACATGTATGGATACTGGGCTGGATTCACTGGGATTTGTTGCCCTGGAGGGAAAGGCATCTGTTGACCACTTAGATTCTGATACATTTGTGGATCAGGCATTGATAAATGGTGAACATCTTGTCTACTGGGCATGTTGGTGTATGTTTCATTCTGCTGAGGTCCTGATTCAGTGGACGGATACTGCATACGAGTCTGGAATGGTGCTTCCTACAAATAAGGCATTGTTTGTAAATAAAATGTGAAGAAAGAAAAGTTAACTTAAGTAACTGTAATATGTTACATCATAATTAAACAGCTGCAGTCAAACCTCCTTATCTCGAACTCAATGGGACCAAGAAAAACTTAGAGATATCTGAGGATTAAAGATATCCAGGGTAAAATACTCAAAGAACAAGGGGTTGGGACTCCAAAATGACTTCGACATATCCATGGTATTCGAGATATCCGTGTTCAACAAACCGAAGTTCAACTGTATATGTATTTTTGTTTGCTCGTTAAAGTGTTTTTGAACTTGTAGAAAGCAACTACACGTTTTAAATTATAAAAATATATAATCTTATAATTGCAATAATATTCATGCCAACATATAATACTCAATTTTGTATTAATCTTTCTTTATAATCTTCAAGTAAAGCCATTAATAATACAATACAATACTCCAGGAACCTTTTACTTTAGATTAAAAATAAAACTTTGTAAAATATAAAATTCTCATTTCTGTAATATTATTTTGAAATTTAAAAAATATATTAGCATATTTCATGCAGCTTATGCTCATGTTCTCTTTTAAGCTCATTAAGTCTTTAGAACTGAGTAACTACCACAAATTTTTCCCATTCGTCTGGAATATCACAGGCATTATTGCAGTGTTCAACCCTCAACTCGCTCCCTTTGTAGGTAATGCACTTTCTTCCTAAGCAATTCTGGACATCTGCATAATGGGAAAAATGAGAATTATTCAAAATTCAATCTATGAATATTATATTTTCCAGGAAAAATCTGTAGCAAGATTAAACTAAACAGGTTCATGGGTCACCAAGCTCACATAGGTCACATACATAAGATTGTATATACGTGCAACATGATTTATAATTAGAGTTGCTTTGCTATTCACATTTTTTTTTAAAAAAAATACCTACATGTAACATTGTATATTCCCATGAATAACTTTGATGATCTAGACTAGCCCCCCCCCCCCCCCCCCCCCCAGCACAAGGCCATAAATTGAACAAATATATATATGAATCTGCACTTATTAATAAAATTTTTCCCTATATATTCCATATGAATATTTGATCCTTTATTGTAGCCCCAGCAAAACCTGTTAGAATCTTCTCTGGGGAAGTCTGCATACAAATCATGGCCTTGCTGTTCTTGTGATGAAATTTTTTAAAGAAATTTCCCTTCACATTTCCTACATAAACTTTGATCCCTTGTGTGGCTTTATCCACCCCTAGGGGCCAAGATTTGAAAAAAAAAAAAAAAAAAAAAAAAAAAACTAGAAAGTCTGCTATTGCAAGCAATAGCGTATGTCGCCCCAAACTGACATGTGAAAATAAAGCATTACTCAAGAAAAAAAATTATCAGAGAAAAACGACACATCAAAAACATACTTGCTTCATACACTATAAGGAATGTCAAAAATTTGGTTTTAATATATTTTATGATAGTTGTGCAAATTCATTTCATTTCTTAAATAAGGTAGCAATGCTCAATAAATGTTTAACTTGTATAATTATACTATATAAAGAAAGAAATATCGTTTTCTTATAATTTCCTAAAGTATTATCTGTTAATTAGATTTTAAAATACATTGCATTATGTCATGAAATTGACATCAGAAATCAAATGGAAATTAAATAGACATTTCATTTTTTCATCACTAAAGCAATACCCATTAGCTACATGTAAGCTTGGACAACCATCATCTCGTATCAGTCCTTTCAGTACTTTGATGAAAAGAAACTTCTGATAGCATACAATGGTCACGTGACCGCGACTTTGTTCCTTACCTGGTCTCAGCGACAAACTTTGCAAAAATAAAATATCCCATGCACAACTAGGGTTGGTGATTTTTATTTCTGTAAAGTTTCATGAAGATTTTGAAAGGCATCTATGAGAACGCTCGAGTACAAAACTAAGGTGAACCAAAATACGACTTCGTTCCGGTAGCTGAAGCGATGGACCTGCTCCAATTTTTTTGCGGGAAACAATTTGATTTAGTAGAAGGAATAAACCTTTAAAGTTTCCAAAAGATTGCTTGCGTAGTTACTGAGAAAAATAGAAATTAAAGAATTTTCACTTTTCGTCCGTTTCCATGGCAACGGTAGGAATTTAGAAAAATTTGAATGTTGACTGCACACCTAGAGTTTCTAATTATAATTTCTGTAAAGTTTCATCAAGATTGTCCAAGCAACCTCTGAGAGCATATGTGAGCATAATACTTTTTTCTGTTTTGTTTCTATGGTAACTGTGTGCGGCCAATTTCAGGTTTTTTTTAAAAATAGAAATTACTTTGACACAATGCAAGGAATCATCCATTAAAGTTTCAAAATGATTGCTTGAGCAGTTACTGAGAAAATCGAAGTTAAAGAATTTTCACATTTCCTCTGTTCTCGTAGCAACAATTGACAGTTTGAGAATTCTAATTGCAAATCGCACAACTACAATTACTGATCATCATTTCTGTGAAGTTTCATGATGAATGTTCAAGGGACCAGAGAGAACACTCCAGGACAAAATTCGTCACTTTTTGCACGTTTCCATGGCAATGGTAGCCATTTTGAAACTGAAAGTCTCCACTGCACTAGTACAACTAGTGATCGTCTTTTGTGGAAAGTTTCGGGAAGATTGTCTCAGCCATCTGCGAGAAAAATCCCGGACAAGGTTTTTAGGCGTACAATAGCAATATGTCACCCGACTTCATTCGGGGCGACATAAAAAAAACAACTTGAATCTGCACTCCATGTGGCTGCTTGCAGAAAAATATGACTAAATGTTAAAAGTATACATATATTTTTTTTTCCATCTTGTATTGTTACACCCTTCTGTACTAAATAAGTTTATCTATTTGACGGAAAATACATAAGGTCTCTATTTCTCTAAACTTGCTATCATTTTCACCAGAGTAGTAGATATTTTGCCAAAAATCAACTTTCGTTTTTGTTTTTTCTTTGAAAACTTACAATAACCAGTGATTTTCCTGCTCAAAAAACACAACCCTACATGTATTTGTGTATCAAACAACATAAGAAATCCATATATATCGACTGTTCATATAGAATTTTATATGGAATATTATTTTCAGACGTACAATTTTCGTCTTTAAATAGCAACAGAAGTCTACGCCCGCCCCTTTGATCTGCTGGGTCAGGAATACAAACAGCAGCGCAGGATCCCTCCACGTCCGTGTGATCTGTTTCGAATGTCTCTAATCCATCGCTGTAAACATACACACAACGCGGACACAAAGTCTGCTTCCACACAGTGCCAGACATTTTGCATACTCCCCAGCTTAAAAATGTAATATCATATCCATTTCATCAATTCATGGCCTTTGAACACGGAATTCTACTTTCGTTTTCTTTCTGCATTCCAGAAAAAGGTTATTCGTATACTCTCGTGCAACTTGTCTTCCGAAAGACACTTGTGTATCCCGAGGCCGATGCATTTCTTGCTGAAAAAAAATGTTATAATTAATTAATTCCTCTGTTTAAAGAAAGAAATATTTGAATAATTGTGCGCTTAAATTAAATTAAATGCTTTCTTAAATTGAATAATCTCGATAAGTATTATCATGATTATGTAGTTTGTAAGTACACTTTATACAAATTTCAATACATCTCCTCATTTTTTGCATGTTTGTCATATTTTTATATCGTTAGTTTGGCTGATTTTTGCATTGGAAGTGATAATATCAATGTAAAAGGAAAAAAACTTCAACATCCAAGTTTACATCAAAATTATAGACATTTAAATTTACTATTTTTTCCTAAAATCTAGTTGCGAATACGTTTTTTGACGGATTTTTATGACGGATAATGTGACATTTTAAATTCAAACAAATGTTATTCATCACAATATCTTTGATGACATAATTTATAAAATTAACCTTTTTACTAAATATAAAAATTACATGGTCGTAGACAATAATTTTACCGATATATACATGTAGATTACTATACTGAGAAAACAAAAATACTATATGCTTGTGACCCCTCAATAAAAACGTCTGATGACCTTTTTTTTCCTTGTCAAGGAATTTTTGGTAGTTGATAGTGCCCCCTCAACTGAAAATGTATGGCTGTGCCCCCCCCCCCCTACTGAAATTGCTTCCTACAGGCATGAATTATATGTATAGATTCACACTGATATTTTAATTTGCTTTATTTACTGTTCAATTTTTAAATTAAATAAAAATGTCCGTCAAATGCTTGTTTTCACACGCGAAAAACCGTCAGAAACTGACAATAGCAGGGTTGGAGTAATTGAAATAAGTAATTGTAATTTACTGTATTTAAATACAATTTTTCAAAGTAATTGAAAGTATTTGTAATTGAGTTTGTTTTCAATTACAAGTAATTGAATGTATTTAAATACATTCCAAAAATGTCATGTATTTTTCAATTACATTTCAATTACAGTTCAAATACTTTATTTTTTAAGTTACATATTTAAAAAGGTGTTTTATCATGATGCATACCAGTACTGTTTGGCATGAGTTTGTGTTTATTCAATAACTAAATGCCTTATATGTTTATACAGCATAACCACACCACCTAGGGCAATAATAAAGGTCAAATTTAATAATGCTGCTCTTCAAAATATTCATGCATTTGTTCTTCAATTTTTTTGGACATAAAATTAAAGTAATTGATATGTATTTAATTACATTCTTCAAAGTAATTGAGAGTAATTAATTACATTTGTTAAAATTAATGTGATTGTAATTGCAAGTAATTGACAAAATTATCAATGTATTTGAAAGTATTTAATTACATTTCAAGGTAATTGACCCCAACCCTGGACAATAGCACATATCATTTTCTTCAATCTGATTAAAAACAAAAACAAAACCCCAAAAATCTGATTTTAATCAGATTGGAAGGCAGCTGATGTGACTTGGAAGTCCTCGTCCTACATGATCATTGTTCTTTCCTCTAAATACATTAAATTAAATGAGGAAGAAAAAACACAGACACTTGTTTTTGTAATAAAAAGTTCACCTTCATAGTTTAATATTAATTGATACCATTTTAAGGGGGGTAAACTGTTATTACAGAGGCAAGTGCTTGTGCACTTTATTTAGCAACTTCACGCTTGTACGCCCCTAGTTCTCGGTCATTTGAAATCGAAAATAGATTTACATTTATTATTTGTTTTTAGTGATGGTTTCAGATACGTATGTAATAAAGGTGACAAATAACAATTAATTGATAAATAACAAATTGTGTAAGGTTGCTGTATAACAAAGATCGAAGAACGCAAAGGCATCAGTGGATATCCCTATTTTCGGCTATAAAAATAACGTCGTGAATATACGTAAACAAAGTACGTCAGTCGATCATGTTCAGAAGAAATGTACACTGCACTTTGTTGTTGTTTATATAGCTATTGTATAACAGATTGTTGGTGCCTAATATGTGACGACCTCCGTCGTAAGTACTAAATTCACTGAGTGGGGCTTGCTCTCGAAATGTAAAAAATATATTTAATATATATATATATATATGTATGCCAATTTGCCAACAATATATTTTATAATATATTATGTGTTGTTTAAGTAGTTGGTATATGATTGTTTTTTTTTATTATAAATATTCGTTTACACTCCGGGAGTAAGCCCCTGATTCATTCAAAATGGATACCTTTATAGGGAATTGTCACAGGTATTACAATTATTATGCAGAAACCAGGTTAACCAAAAGTATAGTGTTTGAACCATCAAAAACTTAATGTTCACAAATAAGTGTATATGTGAACTGTGTGACCAAGGTAAATTATATGAAAATACTTTTTGTATTGTAGTAAGGATGTCCGAGTTGGGATACTAGCTCTAGTAGATATCGAAAGTAAGTCGGAGAGATATCCCCAAACTGCTTCGTACATGCAGGTTTTGCTTGATATTCTAGACAAGCCAAAAAAGCCATCAGATGTTAATGAGGGGACACAATCATATTTTCTTACATATAGTGTATACTGGTAAAAATATTGAGGGGGCACAACTATAAATTGTCTTTTAATTGAAATATGGAGATCATAACGGACAGTATTCAGCTCAAAGTCCATTAAAACAATACAAATGGGAACAAAGTATTTTCAATATTTTGTACCTTTGAACATGTATTAAATTTCATTTCAGTTCAGTTCGATTTGTCATTTATCATGCAAGTTACAGCCCAATAATTGGTTAAATATTAGAATGTAGGAGTTCAAACTATTGGACTGTTAGATATTGGACTTGTGCATGTTTAATCTGTTACATGTAAATATGTATTCGACTCTCTTGGCATTCAAGAAGAAAGTTCTTATCTGACTATAAAAGCAAAAGATAACGTCATAGAAATGTTCTAATTGATTCAATCGAATGGCTTTGGAACAGGTGCGAAAACATTGGTATGTTGTGATTTATTTGCACAAAGACATTGCATATGCAGCTGAATATTATAACACAAGTAAAACACAAAAACAGCTGATCTTTATATCGAATTTTAAAGGTATGTTTTTACGCAATTTCTAAAGGTATCCAAACTCGCAAACTGTCTTAACCCTTGTAGAAAAATTCTTTAAAACCAATGTAAAGTTTCAATCTTAAAACAAACTTTCCCCTTCCAGTTGCAGTTGTACAGAGGGCTTTGCAAAGTTGACAATTATATTTTGGAATCAGATTGGAGTGGAGCTAGGAATCATGGAATCTGACAATATTCTAGAAGTTCGGGGTGTCTCGTCGAAAACAACTATGGACACAGTGGAAATGTACTTTGAGAACACTCGTCGATCCAGAGGAGGAGATATAAAAAGCATTGATGAAAAGGAGGGGGTGTTTTATATAGTGTTTGAGGATGAAAGTGGTGAGAGTTTTTTAAACTATATAATTTCTGTTTTGAAATTTTTTCATACAGTTGTAAGCGCTAAAATATCTTTTGCTTCCTTAAGAATATTATAATGCCTTGTTCTAATAAAAAGGTTTTTTATCTATTCTACTTATATGTAATATATGTTATATTATATGCAATACTAAGTAACATGATTCTCGCAGTTACCGAGGATGTACTACGTATAAAACATAAAATTGATGGAACAGCAATTGAGGTATGCAGGTATGTTTCACCCCCTCCTCCAAAGCCAGTGCAAAATTACCCAAACAAAGTCTTCATTAAAAACATCAGTGAAAACACCACTAAGGATAAACTGGAGAAATTTCTAGAGAAAGTCAGTTTATCTCCTACACGTATAGAGTATGGAGAGTTGGAGGGATCAGCTATAGTAACATTTGATTTAGGTTAGGATCCTTAAGCTCTTTTACTTAGTCTCTATTTAAGAAATTTACATATATTTGTTCATCTTTATTTGTTATCAAGAACAATTTGTATCTTGGATGCATAGCTTATTCTGGTAAAGTAAATATTGTGGTTGAAATAATTTTTTTTTTCTTTTTCATTCATTAGAAAAGCAAATTCTAAATAAAAATATATAATAATACATAAACATGTGGTAAGAACTGCAAACGATAGTATTGTTCTGCTGCCTACCTCCAGGTTAATTTTCAAAAGTTAACATATTTCAATGATTTTTCATATTTCTATGAATTTTCACAAGACACAACTTTGCTGGAAAAACAAAATAATATCAGTGTTGATATTATTTAAAGACATGTTCACTTCATATAATTAACTTTTTCGAACCACGTAATTAAGTATTGACATAAAGTTAAGATATATTCATGTCACATCAACATGCTTTTGGCGTAAAAAAAAATACATTAACATCGTGTAATAATGCTTTGATGTAATGTAAAGATACACTCACATCAAGGAATGGACTTCTGACCTAATGTATCGCCAAGTTTAATATTATAGAATTATAAAGAATGCATGCAAAGATATTTTTACTTTACTTAATGCAATTTTGACAACATGTATAATAAAGAAATGAAATGATGTCAAAAAACATTCATCTCACGTAATAAAGTCCTGTTACAATGTAAAAATTTTCACTTCACATAATGAACTTTTGACATCAAGTTATGAAGTGTTGACATAATGGAAGAATATATTTACTTCAATACGGTTATACGGTGTTGAAATAATGTTAAAATGTCATAAAAAGTTGACATCACGTAAAGATATACATGTTCACATCACGTAATGATAAGTTGACATAATGAATGTATAGTTTTATCCTATAAGGCAGCGACGGCGTTCCATAGGCAGGGGTTCTGGTGTTCGGGTGGGGCTCTATTGATTATAGTGAAAATGCATCAATTCTTCTCTTGGTATTAAACAAAGTAACTAAGTACATAGTTATGATGAACATTCCCGTCTCTTTTAGAATTGTGAATTTCATGGCCCCTTGGTCAGGGGTTCTGGTGTAAGGGCGGGACTCTATTGATTATTTAGTGAAAATGCATTAATTCTGTGAAAATCTTCTTCTCTGCTCCTGGGAATTATTGAAACAAACTAAGTACCGGTACATGGTTATGAAAAGCAAGGATGGCCCCAGTGTCGGGGGTTCTGGTGAAACAAGGGGAGTGGGGCTCTATTAATTAGTGAAACAGCATATTTTCTTTGAAAATATTCTTTTCTGCTCCTGGTTATAAAGCAAAGAAACTAAGTGTATAACTATGATGAGCAAGAGTGTTTCTTCCAGAATTATGAGTTTCATGGCCCCTGGGTCAGATGTTCTGGTGTAAGGGTAATGCTCTATTAATAATATAGTAAAAATGCATCAATAGTATTAAATAATCCTGTCTGCTCCTTATAGTTTTGAGCAGATAAACAAAGTGCATAGTTATGATGAACAAGGGTGCTTCTTACAAAATTTTTAAAAGTTGTGTGGTCCCAGGGTCATATGTTCTGATGTTTCTCGGGGGGGGGGGGGGGGGCTCTATTGATAATTGATATATAGTGAAAATTTGTTAATTCTTTGAAAATATTCAACTAAGTGCATAGTTGTGATGATGAGGGTACCTCTTCCCACTTTCTGAATTTCATGACCCTTGGTCATGGGTTCTGATTTTAGGGTAGGGCTATGTCAAGTGTTCTGGTCCTGAGCAGGGCTATATTTATTATTTATTCTATTGAGAGATTTCCCCTTTGCAATTCACTTTTGATAATTAATCTCTGTAAATAAAGTATTTGAAAGATTAATAAAATAAAAATTTATGCAAGAATTTTTATTGTATAATACAAAAAGTACTTTCAGAGTTTTGATGATCAAGTAGACTTGTACTTAATAGATAAATAAGAATGAGACAAAAATAACTTATTAAATGTTCTTTAAAGACCAAGAGAGGCCAATGTGAAGAGTTATAATATGGGGTTTAAAATATTACAGAAGCACGAATAGTTTGTTAATAGTCTGCATGGTGATAGTGATAAATCGGGGAATTAGAACTTCATTGATGAGTTGTTACTGAATACTAGACTAATTATTTCGTTGATCCCGATCATCCTATTTCTCTTGCTTTTGGGCAACAAATCTTCATCTATCAGTTTATTTTATACTTTATTGATCCTCTAAATTGTTGTATTATACTCAGGTGACTGTTAAGGCCCTTGGGCCTCTTGTTATGCCCCCGTAATCGAAGATTCGGAGGGGGGGTTATATGTTTTGCCCTGTCCGTATGTCTGTTTGTCCGCAAAAACTTCAATCTTACTATACCTTTTGATTGGTTGGAGCTATGGCTTTGATATTTCACTTGTGTATTCCTTGTGACAAGACCATTTCTTTGGGTACCAACGTATTTGACCTCTTGACCCTGGAGTTTGATCATTACAAAACTTTTAACTTGGCCATAACTTTTGAACGGTTGGTGCTAGGGCTTTCATTCTTGAAATGTTTATTCGTTGTGATAAGACCTTTTCATTGGGTACCATTGACCCCTTGACCCTGGAGTTTAGAAAAATTTTAACCTCGGACATAACTTTTGAAGACTTTCATATTTCACATGTTTTTATTCTTGTGACAAGACCTTCCTTTGAGCACTATTAATATTTTACTTGACCTTGGCGTTTAACCTACTTTTGAAAAAAAAAATTGCCTTTGCCTTATCTCTTGAACAGTTGGTGCTAAGGCTTTCATATTTAAGAGGTCTATTCCTTACTTTGGGTACCAACACTTTCGATCTCTTGACCATGGAGTTTGCATGACTTGCATTTGATATAAACCTTCGCCATGAGCTGCCATACGGGGGCATCAGTGTTTCACAAACGCATCTTGTTCACTTCAAAATTCAATGGAAAATGAAAATATTTTTAAAATATATCCCCCAAGACACAAAAATTCCTTTTACAGGTATTATAAAATGTTATTGGCAAATCCATGCAAAAGCTTTTGTTGTTTCATAGGGAAGGGGGACATATGTTAACAGACCATAATACACCGAAAATGAATGGTCATTTTAGACCAATTGACCAATACATTGTCAATCATTAACTTTTACTTAAATGAATCAGATATTATTAGTTTTACATCAGTTTATCCAACGGAGAGATTTAGACATCATTTATCCACATCAACGAGTATTTTAAAATCCTGCTATGTTTGTAAGTCTGATTTCAATAGAAACAAATTTACACCCCCAAATCAGAAAGAGTTGTATTTAACAGCAATTAATTAATTAACAATGGTAACAGAGCTCTCAATCAATTACTAATGAAGTCAGCTGCGTATATGCATTAAAAAAGAGTTAATAGCAGATATTTCAAACATGTTGAATTATGAGTGTAAAATGTAGGCGGGGATCGGGAGTTAACTAGCGTTCGCAGTTCTTCGAAAACTTGGTTATTCTTTTTCCCAGTGTTATTTTTTTTTCTCTGTGTGTCACAGATTTTGAGAAGTTACAGCTGGCTTGTAAAAAGAGGAGTTTAGACAAGTCATACCTGGAGGTATCTCGAGTTCCCATCACAAACTGTGTCATTGTTCGGAACATCTCGGAGAAGACATCTCAACACACCCTAGAGTTTTATTTTGATAATGAAAGAAGGAGTGGAGGAAGGGGGGTTTCGGATATCAGAATGTTTGATGGATTTTCTTTGGTTTATTTTGAGGAGACAGAGGGTTTGTACAGAAAATTGAATGATAAATGAAACCTTCATATATTTCGAAGATGGCATTTATTTCCAAAATATAAATTCTTCATTCAATTTTTTAAGATACAGATTGACATATTTTTTTTCTTTTCTATGATTAAAGTTGTGGATGTCGTAAGTAAGAGACAACATAAAGTTGATGGTCAAGATCTTGATGTTAAGATTTATTATGAGTGCCTTGGACAAGTAGAAAATGAAGAGGAGGGGCCATTCCAGCCTCCTAGACCTTTGGAACTTACAGACCTAGATACCAAGAAGCTGCAGTTTCTTATCAAATCACCTTCATATCAGAAAGCTATAGAAGAGCAACTGGAGGCTGTGTATGCAAAGCCAGTTTGGCCAGAAAAATCTAAATCTGTTTCTCTGACTGTAGAATGTACCTTGACTGCTGAAACCAAAGACTGCATGAAACTAGCCAAAACCTGGGAAGTCAACGTTAAGGAAAATCTGAACAAATTTCTGGATTTTCTGCTCGTGTCTAAACATTCCACTTTACAGGAAGCATTCCCTCTGGTGCTCAATGAGTTAAAATCCTTGACAATCAGTAATCCTGATGCTGTTGCTGTTGTCCTGGAGAAAAGTAATCATGAAATTTATGTGACAGGACACATACAGGCATCACAAGAAGTTTCCAAACAAGTCAGTCATATCATCCAGAAGGTTGAAGAAAACCTAGGTATTAAAGAAATTAACTTGGAGCTAAATCCCAGCATGGTGAAGTACCTCAGTATGTATTGCTTTGAAGCCATTAAGTGCATTGAAAATGAACTTGCCTCTGATTGTGTGAATGTGAAAATTAAAAAAGGAGGAATAGTTATCAGAGGAACTGAAAGTGGCATTTCTCAGGCAAAGTTTGCAGTTGAGCTCATCAGGAAAAGTATCTCAATACCTTTGCTACAAGATGCTGAAGGTCAAGATTTCCTACAAAACAGCATGGAAACATCCAACCATTCAACTTTATGAAAAAAACTATATTGAACTAAGGTTTCTACTGATTTGGTTGTAGTGGCTGTGTATATGAGAAAACATTTTAATCATGTAATACAATATCAATTCTGCAAACATTATTAATGCAAGTAAATTATCTGCACTTGAATAGTTTTTGCTATTTCATTTTCATTACAATCTTATAAAAATAACTGTTAATCCTTTTAGATGACCCTGGAACAGATTTAAAGTCATTCCAACACTTTGTAGAATGTGGTTCTTGTAATAGCTACTCTGAATTCTACTGTAACAATTGTCACCAGCGGATGTGTGAGAACTGCAAGGCCAAACATTTAGTAGACCCTGACAACAAAACGCATGAAATTATTCCATATCCCCAGCGAAAAAAGATGATTTAGAAGGATAATTGTAAGCATCATCCACCAAAACTTGTCGATCTTTTCTGTGATGACTGCCAAGAGGTGGTATGCTCTCTTTGTACTACCACAAAAACTCGCCACGGACACCACTTCTTGGATTTGAAAAAAGTTTTCACAGAGTTTACAAACACGTATTTGAAGGATATTTGCAGAATTCGCGATGATATTCTACCAAAATCGCAAGATATCTTGGAAAATACAAAGAGCTCTATTGTTGATTTGAAGAGACATCTGAAAAATATTCGAGAAACCATGCAAGAGCAGGCCGAGCAGGCCAAGCAGTTAAAGAATCTTGTAAATGAAATGTTGTCCAAAAATATGCAAATTTTGGATGATTTTGAAGTTTCTGCAGTCAATGGACTATCTACTCAGGAAGAGAGTCTCAGCACCTATGTCTCTGATATACAACAAATCATGGAGAAACTCCGGATTTCAGTTTCATCTGTTGCACCATCCACATTGTGCAGTATATGAAGGAAAATTTAGGAAATTCAATAAAGCCAATTCCATCTGTAGGAGAATATCCATTGCCAGTTTTCACAGAGGGTGTACTTTGTAAAGAGGAGATAGCTAAGCAGTTTAGTTTTCTCCAAATGAATTAAGTCCACGATCATCAGGAAATCGCTAGTTTACTGATTGGTGTCGTCTAAAATAGATCTATAGAGATCCATTATCAAAGGATTGTTTGATGGTTTCAATGCATTGTATATATATGCCTTTTTTTTCGTTGTATTTATATCACATTTTACTTCATACAAATAAAGTTTTTGCAGTGTTATTGGAAAATGTACCCTTAAGATCCAAATGATGTAAAAAAAAAAAAATCATATAGAAACAAGTTAAATTGATGCAAATCATCAAATCGGCCGCAAAAATATAGCATTTTAAAGAATTTTTGCAAAAGGGGATCCGAAGGAACATTCAAAATAAAAAGAATTTCATGTACCACGCATGGCACATTTCTTTTGAAAACTGTTCCATTGCCTACTTTTTCTTTGCAATTTTTTATGCTTAAATTTTCAGTGTGATCAAAAAAAGTAAATAAATTCAAATATAAAAATAGGATAATATTATCAATAAATTATTTGACTCGAATACAAATGAACAAATATTCAAAATTGACCAAATATGAATGTCCGAATGCTGACAAAAAAGACGTACAAACCATAGGAACTCTTTTTATGTACAGTAATATGATATATTTTAAAACGTGCTAATTGCAGTAATTTTTTCTTTATTATATTTAAATGGGTGTATTCAGTCACACCTAAAAAAAAACACACACACATAATACACAAAATACACCATCCTGAAACCAAGCGCCGATATCATGGATGATAATGCCGATGTTCTATCAAAATATATGTGAAGTGCAAAAAAAAAAATCCTTTGTCATTTGCAACTGTAATGTCGCGCTTTGCGTTTAGCTCAGTTCAAAGCTCAGTTTCAAAGAAACTATCCAAGATAATTTTATCAAACTTCATATGCTGATAGATATTGATGAGAGCTATGCAACTGCATCAACATTTTTTACCTTGACCTTTCCTTTGACCTTGACCTCGCTTTTCTTAAATTAGTGTTTAGCTCAGTTTTAAAGATACCATTGAAGATAGTGTAACCAAACTTCATATGTTGATACATAATGATGTAAGCTATTCAACTGCATCAAAATCTTTGGACCTTGACCTCACTTTTGACTTTGACCTTACCTTTTTTAAATTAGTGTTTAGCTCAGTTTTAAAGAAACCATTCAAGATATTTTTATCAAACTTCATATGCTGATACATACTGATGAGAGGTATTCAACTGCATCAACATCTTATAACCTTGACCTTTCCTTTGACCTTGACCTCATTTTTCTTAAATTAGTGTTTAGCTCACTTTTAAAGAAACTATTTAGGATAGTGTTATCAATTTTCATATGCTGATACATACTGATGAGAGCTATTCAACTGCATCAACATTTTTTGACCTTGACCTTTCCTTTGACCTTGACCTCACTTTTCTTAAATTAGTGTTAACTTAAACTTAAAGGACTTATCGCATGTTTCTAAATTATTTGAAATTAAAAGCGTAAAACGTTCCTTGTGACCACAGTTTATAAATTTTGTGTTTTTGCTGCAGATAAACTGCGGTAATTAACCAATTATTGACTCAACTGAAAACCCCTGAATTAAAAATCTAAGTTAATTAGATAGCGATCACGTGACCCTGTGACTTCAAAGGCGACAATGGCTGATCAGCTCTATAGTTAATTTTACTAAAATATACGCGATTCAACATGAATATTCTGCATTGTGGACGACCACATCACTGATTTTATCGATATGAAATTGAATATCCAACCTTATATCTTAGAATTGTCAGCAAGAAAAAAATCCGAAAAATCTGTTAACATTGTAAAAATAGCAGCGACGATATCGAAGGAGACGCGGCGAAGACGAAGAATCACAATACACAATACAATTTGATTTGTCATCTTATCACATGTATTTACTTAATTGATTTACAAATTTAATATTGTATAACTTACAAGAAGGAATCAATTTTTCAGCATTTTTCGTAATTAAACTGCATTTGTCGTTGATAACTCCGTAAATAGTTTACATATTCTCATCTCTCTATCACTGAATTGTCGCATATGACGTCAGAGTAGTATTTCGCCGAAATCCGACTGAAATATGCATATTGCCGTATTTGAATTTCAACTCTCAATATCTCTTAAAATATGCTTTCAATAACCTTTATTGTATTCAGTATTTTAATAAACAAGGTTGTAAATAATATTTTTCAAAAAATTACGATTTTGGAAAGATCATGCGATAAGTCCTTTAATATGCTGATACTTATTTGTGAGAACTATTTATCATCTATATCCAACTTTTTAGATTTCAATTTTAAAGAAACTATTCAAGATATATTAACATCAAATTTCATACACTAATACAAATTTTCATGTTGCATTACTAATGTACCCTCGGCGGGGCATCCATGTCCTACGGACATATTTCTAGGGTTTTTTTTTTTTCTTTTTTCGCTTGTCAAGGAGTTTGGTCAAGGAATATTCCTTGTTCCCCGTTTACAACTGATAAAGTCTAGGAATCAGAATTCATATCATAACCGAAATCCAACTTTTGTGAGGGCATGTGTGTCAAATTTCATTGGGGGGGGGGGGGACCTGTTAATTTGGAAACGGTTTTCACAAAACACACAACTATACGTTTGAAAGACATTTTGCAGAATTCACAACGACTCTCTCTCAAAATCGCAGTATCTTTTAGAGGTTGCAAAATTGTTGATTTGAAGAGACAACTGAAGAATCCATGCAAGAGCAGGCCAAAATCTTTGTCTTGTCGATAGAGTTTGTCTGAAGTTCTAGGGAAGGTCAATGTTTTTAGTGTCATATTGTAAATATTTTTTTAATTTACCAGGTGGTAGTAAATTTTATGGCATATTTTGTAATTTTTGTATTTACTACCACCCAGTAAATTAAAAAAAATTACATGATGACACTAGGAGTGTCTGCTCAAGAAACACTCAGTGTCTGTCTTTCTAACTTGCAAAAAAAAAATCCTGGAAGGAACTTCATCAAATTACGATTTCCTCTATTTCACCATTCTGAAGCACATAAAGGAGACGAAAGAAATTTAAATAAACCCAATTCCAGTTGGATCAAAATTATCCTTAAGGGGTTTACTCTGCAAGAGGGAATTATATAAGGAATTTAGTTCTCTCCAAATAGAAGCACGGGTATCGAGTTCATCAACATGGGAAATTACCTGCCTACTTTTCGTCAGCTTGATGGTAGTTTGTATAGATCAAGAGAAATACTTTATTGAGCTCTATTGTATCTTTCCTGTTTATGTACTAGTGTGTGCACATTATTTCGTATACATGTATTTATGTTCTTAATCTTCAGTGCTATTGGGAAATTGATCCTAACAAATCCAAAATTAAAAAAAAACAAGATTTTTTAAAATTGCTCACACTTGAGGAATGAAAGCACACCATAAGCCATTCTTGAAAAAATATCATGTTCTATAATACTTGATTCATAGCACAAATAAGCAAAACATAAAATTACTAAAGTTTATTAATTATCGTATGTTCTCTTTTTATAGAAGGACCGTCCATGCCCAAGTACTAGTCACATTGATTTCTAATTTGTTCTCAACACCTGTAAAAAAAAATTATGCATTAACAGACTTTCCCAGAAATATACATGTAACCCTTAACTAGGAGGTATGAACACAAAAAACAACACAGAATGTTGCATTTATTTTTTTAAACTTTAAAAAAAAATAAAATTAAAACGCAATAAATTGTACAATATTTTACTAATTTGGCACTGATGTAATTGCATAATTGCTTGTCCCATTTTGTAAGACTTTGCCATCTCCATATCTTTGGAAGTGTTCCGATATACATTCTGGAAAAGAATATAAAAAAAATTGAGACAAAGTATATAATAATAAACTCTTTGTCAGCTGGTATTGAAGGAATAAGGTATTTCTAAACATCTATTTCATCCTAAGGTTCTATATATATGGGTTGGTAACGTGATATGGACTTTTATTTGAATTACAATAAGCTTTTAACCTCTATTTTAATTAAAAATGTGAAATAAGATTTGATATCTTGTTTTGAATAACTTCTATGAATAAGTATATATTTCATACGTTTGATGTATAAATGCATCATAATTTATCATACCAGATTAGAAGTTGTCTATAAACTGCACTCTGTTGAGGTCCATGCGACCTACATTTGCAAAAGCCTCTCTGTGGTTACGAGTTTTTCTCTGGAAGATTAAAATCAAATTTTTAACGGCATCAGTATAATTTCTGTCTTGTTTGAATATTTAAAATGTTCTTGGTAAGACTGTAGATTGTATTGGTGCCTACCACATACGACCGGTGTCTGGTACAGAAACCTGGTTTTTCACGCCGACTTTTGGGTCGTGGTCGTGTGTAGTCTACTTTTTGTCTCGCACACTCGTGTCTGAAGTCAACCCGGGCCAACCACTCATACTGAAATGAAAAAAAATAATTTGTTTGAATTTTAACATAGAGAGCTCATTTATATTTATGTCAAAAGACTCGAAGAAAATTTAAAAGGGGGGGGGAGGGCAGTGGTGAATCAATATTTTTGCGAAGCATTTAAAAAAAATTAAAGGTTGTTCTATCTTTGTTTACAAATAAATAAAATATACCTATATAATTTTTCGACCTACCACATGAGTTGGTATTCTTCTGTAGGGACCAGTCTCCGTGTTTCTGATTCATTGATCAAGCGTGTCAACTGTGACTGGAATAAGAGAACAAAATAGTACATGTAATTGAAATAAAAATAATAACACTCTTTAAATGCTGTAAATGTAGATTCTATTAGACAAACACTGTCGAATGTAGGATTAACAAAGCAAATGTTTGAGAAACAGATACCTCCTTTTTTGTTTTTTTTAAATAGGTCAAACTCCAAAGTTGGTACTCAAAGACAGCTATTGTCACAAGAAATAAACATTTAGAAAATAAAAGCCCTAGCACCAACTGATCAGCAGTACTGCTATGGTCAAGGTTCATCTCTTTCAAAAGTAAGTCAAACTCCAAGGCCAGGATCATGTGGTCAAAATGTTGGTATCAAAGACAGATGTTGTCACAAGGAATATAAATGTGAAATATAAAAGCCCTAGCACCAACCGTTCAGAAATTATGGCCAAAGTTAAAGTTTTTCAAAAGTAAGTCAAATTTCAAGGTCAAGTTCATGAGGTAAAAAATGTCGGTACCAAAAGAAATACTTTGCTACAAGGAATACACATCGGGAATCTGAAAGCCCTAGCACCAACTGTTTAAAAGTTACGGCTAAAGTTTAAGATTTTGCGGACAAAGAGACAGAAGGACAGACCAAATAGTAACTACGAGGGGTGATCAAAAAGTTCGCGAACTAATTGAATTGCCTCCATAAAAGAAATAAAATTAGGTTTCAGTATTCATTATTTTTTAATGTAGTCCTCTCCAATTTTAATGCACATCTGAAACCGTTCTGCCAATGCGCGAATCACGTGATCCAGGCGGGTCACGTGACATGCTCCGTAGAGTTCTGTTCACAGAAGCTAAAAGGTTTTTTAGAGTCTTGTATTTCTTACTATGCAATTTATTTTTTATAACAAGAACAGTCCATTTGTCAGATATGGCTAAATCTCGGTAATAGGATTGTTGAATAAGAATATCCTTTCCCAGAATGAGTATGGTGAAGATCACAACCCGAGTCTTCTGTCTTAAGAGCGTCGTTTATCTTAAGTGGATAACGTTCTGACCATTCCGGTATTTTTTGTTGTACCACATGGGGACCACCATGAGGCTTCCTTTTTGTCTGCGATACCAGATGTTGTATCGCCATCACTAGCTGATTTAAAGGCTCCTTCTTTTCAGATTCGAATATGAGCTTAGGGTCCCCACCTTTGTCCTTATGTGAGCTATTCCCGTTATCTTTGTTGTGTAGATCTGATGGCTTGTCGCTCCCAGGGGAGTATCCAATAATAACACAATCGTCATCATCAGAGTTTCCTCCCACTAAGGTATCCGACAGTTTGGCCGCTAAATCATCACAAAGGGAAGACTGGTCTGTCTTGCTATTGCCTTTCTCCAAAGGATACAGTGCTCCTGTCCCTTCTATGTTGATGCTGACAAATGTCATTTCTTTCTCATGTGAGCAGAATTTTTCCAGCCCGATATCCGATTGTGGAAAATCATGGTCACCCACGAATGTCCTTTTTAGTAGTCTGGGTCTTGCCTTCTTCTGGTAAAGGTTAAACTGTGAATATTTTATTAAAGTGTTATTTTTCTGCCCCCGTATCGAAGATTCGGGGAATATAGTTTTTGCCCTGTCAGTCCGTCTGTCTGTCTGTCTGTTTATCTGTTTGTCTTTTTGTCCGCAAAAACTTTAACATTGTTCATAACTTTTGATTAGTTGGAGCTATGGCTTTCATATTTCACACGTGTATTCCTTGTCACAAGACCTTTCTTCGGGTACCACCATATTTGACCTTTTGACCTTGACCTAGTTTTACTAAATTTTACTCAACTTTAACCTTGGCCATAACTTTTGAACAGTTGGAGCTAGGGCTTTCATACTTTACAAGAGTAGTCCTTGTGACAAGACCTTCCTTTGGATACCAACAACTTTGACCCTTTGACCTTGACCTTGGAGTTTGACCTACTTTTGAAAAACTTTAACCTTGGCCATAACTTTTGAACAATTGGTGCTAGGGCTTTCATACTTCACATATGTAATTCTTGTGACAAGGCCTTCCTTTGGATACAAACAACTTTGACCCTTTGACCTTGACCTTGGAGTTTGACCTACTTTGAGAAACTTTAACCTTGGCTATAACTTGTGAACCGTTGGAGCTAGGGCTTTCATACTTTACATATATAATCCTTTTGACAAGGCCTTCCTTTGATACCAACAACTTTGACCCTTTGACCTTGGAGTTTAACCCACTTTTGGAAAAATTTAACCTTGGCCATAACTTGTGAACCGTTTGTGCTAGGGATTTCATACTTCACATATGTAATCCTTGTGACAAGACCTTCCTTTGGATACCAACAATTGTAATCCATTTACCTTGAACTTGGAGTTTGACCTACTTTTGGAAAACTTAAACCTTGGTTATAACTTTTGAACGAGTGGTGCTTCAGCTTTCATATTTCACCAGTATATTTCTTGTGAGAAGGCCTTTCCTTAGGCACCATTATTTTTTACCATTTGACCTTGACCTTGATGTTTGACTTACTTTTGAAAAACTTTAACCGTTTTCATATCTATTCAATGGTTGTTCTAGGGCTTTCATATTTTCACAGGTATATTCCTCGAGACAAGACCTTACTTTGGGTACCAACATATTTGATTTGCATTTGAGAAAGTTTAACCTTTGCTATAAGTTGCCATACGGGGGCATCAGTGTTTCACAAGCACATCTTGTTTAAATAAAGTTCTTCCCTTAAAAATGCTAAAGACTTGAAAAAGGGAAAAAAATAGAACTGAGAAAATTAAAAATCCTAAATTAATGAAATTTTATGTCTCTTAAGTTTTTTTAAAAGGCAATTTGCTGAACTTTGCCCTTCTTGCTTTGTATGCACTGCAATGTGTTAGTATTACATGTACTTTCAACTTTATGTTGAATTATCAAAATATTGGTTTCTTATTTTTTTGCACGTTCGATCGCAATCAAATGGCGCCGTATCTATGATATGACATAGCCATGCACAACGCAACGGCATCAAAGTGGTATAGTGACGTTATAATAATAATGTTTTAATAATAATCTTCCATACTAAAAATTTAAAATTATATTTTTCTATTTAATTTCTTGTCTATCTTACAAGCAAAACATTTATTATTGTGTAAGATTTTAAATTGATTTTTGTTGTCAACAGGCGTGAGCTTTGAATACAGATTTTGAAAGATGTCATGTATCAGGTATCTTCTTTCAAAGTAAGAAGGGTAATGCAAACTAAAACATTCATTAGATCTATAGATACATATGTATTTATAAAATTGACTTACCTGTTTGTTAGAATCGATCCTCTAAAAAATGTTTACACTGGATCTCTAGCTGACGTCACAATCAACTGGAACGTACGCACTGTACACTTTTAGTATCATCAACTTTCTGAATTAGACAAGTTTTCAGATTTCATATCATTCGGATTAGAGAAGTTTTACTCTAGTAAAAGAAATAATAGTCTTGGATTATTAAGGACTGCCATAATAATAGTATATAAAGTTACTCTAAATTAATTTTAATGCCTAATTTTTGACTTGATCGAATGCTCCGAATTTGATGGAATAAAATGCTTCGAAGTGATTTTTTTTTTTATCTTTTATGTTATAATTTTATTGTGTTTGTTCTTTAGAAGTCAGTGGACCAGTTGACTTTTAGGAGACGAGTATATTGTGGCAATTCTGACAATTTCAGTACCTTTATTGCTAGGTCTAAAGTCTCATATTCTGTCACTATGTGTGTGACATTTTCTCTGTAATTAAACAAAGTCTTCGAAAATCTTGCCCAGTAAGTAATAGAAGACAAGCATGGATAGGATCTTCTCACAAAGGTAATTGAGAAGACTTTAATAAAATTAAATGACCAAAGAAAGAATACAAGTATTGAGTCTGCATTCACTTAGTCAAGAAGAACAGAACAAAGAATACGTTTCCTACCTACATAGAACAAATATGAAAAGAAAATAGTAAGGAAGTAAATAAAAAAAAAACCCACCCCAAACATACATTTATGTACACTGTGATTTTATCAAAGTAATAAGTTATGTTTTGAAAAAAGTGGGGAGGCTACGCCATCTCCCCCCTTTTCCGATACTATGTGCCTGAAAATTGCAAACAATGATCTTTCGATTTTTAAAAAAAAAATATTTAATTATTACTAGTTGAGTTTGACCTAAATAATGAACGGAGAGGAGTAAAGTACATTTCTTGAAGGCGTTTTACTGAGTATGTGAGACGGAAGTCCTCTTCTTGCTACAAATCTATATTGGTGTATTTTCCTTCCAATGCATTAAAGGAAGAAGGAAAAGCACATAAATTTGTTTTTGTTTTTATAAAACCTTAATGATAATACAGTGTTATTATTATAAGAGAGAGAGAGAGAGAGAGAGAGAAACAAGTGCCTGTGCACTTCATGTATAATAACATTACGCTTGTATGCACACTAACTACTTTTAAATATTCTAGGTCATTCGAAATCGAAAATAGAATTAATTCATATTTGTATTTGATTATAGT